CATAAAGTTGATGGGGAACATACAAAGAACGACACCAATACATTCATCAATAGCACTTACAACACCTGATATATGATAGCAAAAAGATTAAAATAGCGTTGATAAATTATTTTGAGACTTGTCTGCCCAGACGCTTTTTTTATCCTGTGATCTTCAATAAAAATCATTCTGTTGGCGTGCTGACGTGATCACCCATGACAAGTTAAATGCTGATGTAAACAATAATCCAACCAATTGCCGTGTTTAAAAGATATGATCATATGAGATGAAAAAGTCATGCAATTCACAATTTTGTTACAGTTTCAATTATTACACATGCATAAAATAACACGTACAGATGCGACCCTTGAAGCTTCTCATATGCCACAGATCAAGATGCGGATTTTACAAAGCTGGGTCAGTTTCCGCGCGCTGGCGGTACTGCCCGGCCTTTGTTCTCTCTTGCAGGTGGCATCACAGACCCATCCCTGTCTCTCTAGAGTTCCATCTCCGTCTCTTCATTGGTCTCCCCCGTCTCTGCTGAGGTGATCGCTCGCCACTCGGACGAGCCCGCTCTCTTTTTGCTGCGGAAATGCCAGAGATTAGCCCCTCTGCGGCACTGGGCGAGAGACACTGGCCGCGTCAGCTAAAAGCCACTGTGCCGAGGCCAAGAATTGGCTCGCAAAACAAAGCTTCCCTGGGGGAGGCGGGCGTCCCCTGGCGCGGCGGTTTCTGCAGCAGTGCCGGGTCGGAGACAGAGGATAAACAAGGAACAGGTGCGGCCTATAGGCGCAGCGACTCCGTAATGAGCTCTCGGAACTTGTAGTTTCCGAATCGGCAGACTGAAATACGGCTGCAACATAGCTTATATAAGCTGTCTGGAGGTAGGATGTACTAAATGGAGTGCAATGCGCTGCCTATGACTTCCTGGGTCTCGTATATGAATGTGGTGCATTGCTAGCAATTGCTATGTTTGGTATTGCCAGCTGAGCCCAGAAATAATGTTTGAATTTGTAAACTTTAAGGGGAAATCGCTATCTGAACTGCACCGCGAAGCGAGTGATGCAATACCGGCCTACATTTAACACACCATTGACGGACGCAAAGTTACACAGGGGCGCTGACGAAACTTGTGCTTCTATTTTATACATTTCCCGGAGAGCAAGGGTATGGCGTTGCATACTGCATAGATTAATAGAGGTATTGGATCTAACTTTAGTGTTGTACAGTAGGTAAATATATATTCTGAAATCCCAAGACAATCTCAAATGTGCGGGTATTGGGACCCGTAGTCTTCCATCTTGGATCTCCATTTAAATTACGGCCCGTATCGAGTTGTAGGGCTACGAACAGATAAGGCTCCATGGTAAATGTTTGAGACTTTCTCTCGTTGGAATGATGCGACGGCTGTTGCCATGCCACCGACGATGGGCTTAGTCGAAAAGTTAAATTGTCGCTGTTCATTTATTTGTATGCATGAATGCAATCAATATGATGGACAATGGTTTTACTTCCAAGTGTGCATGGCTGTCCTAAGGCACTCAGCCTCAATTGACAAAGTTGCACACTTTGAGTGTATTTGAGATCACCAGATGTGTTGAAGCACGTCCGCTTGGTAACATGAAGCAGGCCAATATTCCTTAGTCTTGCCTCCACAGTCCACGCCTTTTTTTGCATCCTCCCATGTCCTCAGCGCTACCGCCTGACCCTGTCTGTCGACCTGATCCCACATATAGCACACACCGTCACCACGCTCCCCCAGTACAGACGTGCCCCCGCCGCGTCCGGTCCATCCCCCTCCCCCAGTCACGTGTCACATCGGCCACCCTGTCACCGTGCGGTGCACATCACCAGGCCGATCACGTGGGCGGCTCGGGGACGTCCGACACCGCTAACAACATCAGCCGCCGAGCCGACGACAGTCTCCGACTGTATCGGCGCCGGTCATATTTAGCACCCGAGTAGCACGTTCATGTTATGGTGTTAGCACGTGAGGAGCCTAACGCGGCGCCGTGTCGGCAGCATATGGATATACCACAGTTTGTAGGGCCGAGGGACTGACCGGACCGGCGTCTCTCGTTTTGGTCGAAGGAACGTGCAACTGACACGTCACGCAAGTCTCTCTCTCTCTCTCTCTCTCTCTCTCTCTCTCTCTCTCTCTCTCTCTCTCTCTCTCTCTCTCTCTCTCTCTCTCTCTCTCTCTCTCTCTCTCTCTCTCGCTCTATCTCTCTCTATCTCTCTCTCCCTGGCTCCCTTCCTCCCTCCTCTCGGCCACAATTAGTGGAAAGAGTGAGGTTCAATGGTTAGGTCAGATGACCACAGTACCATGGGCGATTTCCTCATAGGTCCCGACCACCACGGGCCAATGGCTCGTGTATGTGGCGTGCACGTACCCCTCCGTTTCTCTCTCCTACCACTCGTCCCCTCTTCTATCGGGTCGAGAAGGACGCAGTAGCGCTTACATAACACATATAGAGGTCGGGGGTGGCACACGCGCTGAGCAGCTCTTTCACGGCCAAGTTAGACACTCGAGTCTGATTGGGCTATTTCATGTGGTAAATGAAGCGACCAACTTTCCAACTTTCCGCGGGGACAGTGTGCTTGGGAATGAGGAGGTGAGCTTTTTAAGAAGGCTGAAGCGCTGAGTATCTTTAATATTTGAATGGGAAACACTTTTCCATTTCCTGGTTGGTGTGATATATTTGAAAAAAATAAACTTACTGAGCTATTTGGCTAGTTAAATCAAATAAATGTCCATGTTGTCTAGCCTCGAAAAAAATCACTCCGGGTTTTCTTGTGTTTCATGATGCTAATGCATGCACGATGTAGGTATATGCATATTGCATATATTGTCAGCAAATGTTCTACAGCTATTTACACCCACTAGGTACAGATACGGCTACAGCCTTGTAGGCTGTAGCGCTCCACGGGATGTGCTGGACATTTCCCGTTCCTTATCTGCCCTACTACACAGCACACATCCTCCCCTCCCCCTTCCTCTCAGTGGCGTCTGACTGGGGTGACTGATGAGCTGTGAGCACCACCGCCGTCCCGACACCATTAGCCAGTGTGTGCCGACCTCCCGGCCCCCTCACCCCACCCCCCTCCCACCCTCCGACCAATCGGCTCACAACAAAGCGTCGTAATTGTGCGCTGATGAAGCCGCTCTGTGTCCGAGTGCTGGTACGGCGGCGCCGACGTCGACAGAATGCCGGCGCCTGCTCGCGATAGAGTGGAGAACAGACGTGAGTGCGAACTCTAATTGACAATGATGGTGACAATGCCAGCGTTAATTACTCCGTAAAATCATTTAGTAGACGGCTAGGCCCATGTTTGCTTGTGAGCTGTTCGCCGCGCGTCTAAGTAACATCGAGTATGTATTTGAGACACGGGTTGAAATTCTTGAAATGTTTTGTAATTGTCGATGATCAATGATAAATGAAAACAAAATGAAATTTTCTACCCCATTTCCATTCTTTTACGTCTGAACACAGTCATGTTTTTGCACGAATATTTTTAGCGTTATTTTTCACGCTTTTTCTTTTTTCTATATAGAGCGCAATAATACCGTCGCAATTCAGCCCTCACGCGCACGTATTGTAAAAAAAAACGGGCCATCAAATAAGCACTTCTGGCGGCGTATTCTGTCGTTTTTTGCGGCCTCTCCGGCCTTCAGGGAACCGTGCCGAGTGTTTGTCCCCGGACGATATGGTCCCGGGCCTGGCAGCGGCGGCTCAGGGACTCGAGAGATCCGCACGATCCGACTGCGCTCAGAGAAACGAATGGCAGCCTAATGAGGCAGCACGACGCTTTTTTCTGTCACTAGTATGTGCTACTGCTGTGCATATTTCCAAGCTCGATACCTAATTCATCGCAAGAGGCTGTGCTTAGATCAAGATGTTATTCAGAAGCATTGCCTGAACTTACAAAAGCTATCGCTATTGAATATGCATATTTCTGTATTTATGACGAACGTTTTTTGTTTTGCCCACCTAAATTTAAAACTTTTGACACCGCTGCACTGCAGTGACATCTTTCTATGCACTAGATAAAAGAGGGCTGAATCATGAGATTTTGCGTGTTTTACACATGATTAATATCACACCATAAACACGGGGCTATTAACCGCTAAACAATTCAGCAGCCTAACTGGATTTGTGCCGCGTTCTCAGGAACGTGGACTGGTTAATTTCATACCGGCGCGGTTCTCGGCCGGGGAGAGCTACTTCCCAGCCACCTCGCCGTGCTATTTTGCCCGCGCACAGCCGGTTCAGTTGATCAATCCTGCATTGTTTACCCGAGGAAAGGCGGAGTTTGGATTCAAAGAACGGAATGCCGATGTGCTCAAAATGGTCGTTATTGATTCTGCTCACGTGCCGACATAGCGGTCTTTCGAAGTGTGCTGTTTTCATCCATTTTTATTATTGATTGATGGCATGTTTTTGGATTTGCTGAAACGCACGAACGCACGAATTACTTCCTGTTCTTTTATGATGCAGATATGCCGTGCCTTTGATCCATAATTGTTTCTCTAGGGATGCCACCATTACGTGGGAGTTTCTGCCGTTCGGTTTATGCATTAGTGCTTTAACCCGTCCGCTAATTTCTCTTTGATATTGAAATGTCTGGTCTGATTTCGTCGTCGTCAGATCTCCTTGTCACAAACATGTCTCACTTGGTCTTTATGCGTCATCACATCTCTAATGTCAGCCTTTCTGTATGTGTCTACCTTTGTGAATCTCGTTCGACTCCCCTTTCCACCTTCCCTCCATGCTTCCGTCTCTTTCTGTCTCTGTCCCTTCCTCTCCCCGTACCAGCCGCCCCACTGACTCCCCCCCCCCCTAGCTTCCCCAGGTGGATCCTGCTGCGGCCCCGCCATGGAGCTGGAGTCCGTGCCCGCCTCCTGGCTGACCCCCCCCCCCCCCGCCTTCCCTCCCCGTCAGGTGGATCGTGCGGCGGCCCCGCCATGGAGCTGGAGCCTGTGCCCGCCTCCCACTGATACCCCCTCCCCCCCCCTTCAGGTGGATCCTGCGGCGGCCCTGCCATGGAGCTGGAGCCTGTGCCTGCCTCCTGGCTGACAGCCGCGCCGCCCCCGGCCACCGCCGACGGGCTCGTCAACGGCTCAGCGGCGGCCAACGCCACGGCTGCCGGCGGCGGCTTCTACTCGGTGACACAGACGGTGCTGCTCATCCTGGTGACCAGCGTGCTCGTCTCCGTCACCGTGGTCGGCAACATCATGGTCATGGTGTCGTTTCACATCGACAAACAGCTGCAGACGATCAGCAACTACTTCCTGTTCAGTCTGGCGGTGGCCGACTTTGCGATCGGTCTCATCTCGATGCCGCTGTTCACGGTGTACCAGGTGATGGGTCGGTGGGTGATGGGACCGGTGGTCTGTGACACGTGGCTAGCTCTGGACTATCTGGCGTCGAACGCCTCCGTGCTGAACCTTCTCATTATCAGCTTCGACCGGTACTTTTCTGTGACGCGTCCTCTGACATACCGAGCGCGGCGCACCAACCGGCGAGCGGCAGCAATGATCGCCTGCGCCTGGGGCATCTCTCTGGTCCTGTGGCCGCCCTGGATCTACGCGTGGCCGTACATTGAGGGCCGACGCACCGTGCCGCCGGACGAGTGTTACATCCAGTTCCTGCAGACCAACCACTACTGGACGTTCGGCACGGCCATCGCCGCCTTCTACCTGCCGGTGCTCATCATGTGTGGCCTCTACTACCGGATATGGCTGGAGACGGAGCAGCGGCAGCGGGATCTGACCCACCTGCAAGCCGGCAAGAACAGCAGCAGGAGGTCCAACACCAGGTAAGTCAGGAGGAACAGAAGGAGGTCCAACACCAGGTGAGTCAGAAGGGAGGAGGTCCAACACCAAGTACGGCAACAGCAGCAGGAGGTCCAACACCAGGTGAGTCTGGAGGAACAGCAGGAGGTCCAACATCACTTATCAGGTAAGTGGGTCCGGCACCTTGAGGTTCGACTCTAATTATTTGTAATTTTTCATCTAGATGAACAAGCTTACACTTAATCATCTCCACCCGACAGCAGCATAATGCCTTGCATTATGCTGACAGTAGCATAAGAGGAGGCATTGAAGGAGCGACTTCCTTCTGTAAGACTGGGCAGATGCGGCGTACTGTTAGATCTCTAAAGGGGAATTCTTATCAGCATTTTTTGAACATTGTTTAGATGAATGCTTATTACCTATGTTTCCGTATTCCGCATTACGAGGAAAAGTTCAACATCTTTCCCTTACCTCAGCTATCAATATGTGGAGACTGAATATATTTCAATTTACAATTCATCGGTGCGGGGGAGGAGTCGACATCGGTTACAAATCGGGTGGCTGCATTTTCACAAATGGTGCGCCTGGGAAGCGCCATTTCCACCCAAACCAGGCCCGACGAAGATCGATGGCTGCCATGCGTCTCCCCCGACGTCCGACATTTGCCGGTCATCGCTTAGGTTAGTGAACAGCTCAAAGTGCCCAGCGTAACCGATACTAAATTATAGTGAACCATCGATTTATGTCCTGCAGTGATACTCCTGAAATATACATATTTGTGCCTGCTGAGTGTTGAGAAGGCATTTTGTGGTGTGTTTAAATAAGTGACACATAGGCAGTACGATAGGTTATCAAATTGAAGAAAAGGGAGAATGTGAGCAGGCACTGGACGGATGATGGATAGGACTGTATGAAAGCCACTGCAGTTTAATTTCAGACCGTTCAGTCATCGGTAGGCATTAGACCACTCTTTTCAATGTCTACACTGCAATATTGGATATATGCAGTTCAAGTTCAAGGGTTTTGATCTCGATGTAGCTACGCATCGGTAAAGGGGCAAGCATTGTAAACAGCGAACAACATGAGTATTTATACCTGACCCATATTCCCAGTGGGGCACCAATTTAAACTGAAATGAATCACTTTCATTTCAAGGCTGACATTTGACAAATTATTTCATGACTTTCGTCACAGTTCAATTAATACACTTTATGCTTAGATTATTTTATTTGAAGTCAGAAACATTTGTCTAATGTTCTGTTCGAAGTTATATCGGTTGACCTTTCAGAACCCCGGCTGATATCCGTCAGTCCGTGCCGCTATGGCAGAGACATTTTCTCAAAGTGTCATTGAACGAGCGTCGCTTTCCTAAATCTGCAGCACCACTAGCAGAACGAGCTAGAGGCCCAACTTTTCATATAGCGCTACGTTCAATAGCATTTTCAATATCCCGGCAGCGGGCGGGCGCATCTTTCCCCGTGTTTTCGCCGCTGCAGAAAAGCTTGCTGCCTATACGCTATGGCTGTCACCACGCGGCCGACAGCTTCGCTTTTTGCCGACCAGCCGCCGACAGCGATGCAAAACAAAGCCGATTTGTCGGGAAACAGGCGATAAAACGTTGAGCCAACACGTGCCGCGCCCCGGGCAGCACCCCGGCCGGCTGGCTCGGCCGGCCGGCGGCGGCGGCGGCGACGGCGACGGCGATCGATTCTTCCCGGCCGGCCGTCGGGCGGGCGGTCTCTCTCGGCCGCGCCGTCACCGCCAAAACGGTCGCAGCGTCCGGCTGAATGGTCGGCGGCCGTCTGCCGCGCCGCGCGTCAGCGGTGCGCCGCCGTGTCGAGCCGTTATCTGGCCCAAACACCGCAGGCCCGGCCGTAACTCGGAGTCAGCGCCGTGGTATTTAGTGGTCCGGCCAGTGGCTAAGGAGAGTGGATTAGGTAGAGCGAGTGTTCAGTAAAAGAGATATGCTCACAGATTTGCTTCGCAAGCGTTTTTGCCCGGTAACCAAGGCGCAATAATGATTAATGAATCCCGCGCAAATGGGGTAAAGTAAAATGAGGAAGACGCTACCCAGGAAATGGCGGAGTAGTTTCCAGTGAACTGTTGCCTGAGGCGCGGCCTCAATTTAATCTCGTTAGCTTGTAGGCTGCGTACACGGCGCTGATGCAAGGGCGATTTAACCCGTGCCAGCCTCCAGCTTCGCCACTGAGAAATTTCACCAAAGTACGTACAAAGTTTTTGCTCGAAGTTCTTGTGCGTCACGGAAAATTATATTTGACTGCAAATGTGCCAGATTCGCTCGGGACACTTGCTTTTTGATTAATTAGGCCATTACTGAAATAAAGGACACCGGAAATGAAACTAGACGTGTCCTCAGAGTACTTCTTTCCATTGCCGACCCATCCACACAACTTCCTGAGCTTAAGTTAAGCAGATAAACTTCAGGGAAAGTTAAAGAGAAAACTTGAAATGATTGATGACATTCGTTGACGTCTTGACAGATCGAAATTACGTACTTGAAGGTGATATATAATTCAGCTCTTGTGAAAGCGCCGTGAGTATTTTATTTAGTGGGTAGGCTGTCTATGAAATGTGTTACGACCTACGCATAAATCATGACAGTCGCCCGGGCTATAAGAGCATCTTCGCGAGGTGGGGTCGCAGATATTAATACATTCACTTTGATTTTGCTGTCATCGTCACAATGGTCGCTGAAGTTGTGAGCTGAGTGTTTAACCCGCGCCTTGTTGAAATGTTTTCGCTTGGGAATAGGGCAACTCTGAAACTGTCGGACCAATTTTCACATCGTTCACAACGTTCGGGTACCGATAAAAATTTATTGATTGAAAAGTAATTGTGATCTTACAAAACGATCAGGCACCAGGGAACACTCTATACAATGTAACACAGTGTAGCCGATTGTTTCTCATAACCATATTTGCTATAGATCTCTTGCATACTTACAAACTGTGCACATTTATTGAGGACTGGATGACTGATGTACCGCGGAGCCACCAACACTTCCTTCCGATACGTCTCGCTCCGACACTGCCGGCCCGCCGGCCGCCTTTGTTGTCGCTGACAATGATAGCGGCCAGCTCAGCCGGACCCGGGCCGCTAACCGACGCCGCTTTTTGCGTGCGTTGCCTCTGAGGTCAGCATTAATCCGCCGCTCTGCCCCCGGCCCGCTGTCTGTCCCCGCGCCCGCTGTCCTCCCCGTTCCGACTCACGCGTCAGTTGCTAGCGGGGAAGACGATCTCAGGGGTGCGTTGTGAACGAGCGGGTTAGAGAACGGATTGAATCTTGTGCCAAAAAAAAGGTATGTAGTATGCACCGGATCTAATGCTGTACTTTATCGTGTAACTTACATATAAATGCAAAACTGTGTTATAGTGACATACATATGACATGAAAATTATATCGCGTAGCTTGATTTTCTCAGTCGCAGCTTCACTAGTCTGACCTTTGTAGTCTGGGTTGCATTGCACCGTCCTTTTCCTCCAAACCAGTAGGTGGTATAATTTTAACCTGGTCCGTGGTCTGTGCGTTCGTGTGATCTGATTCGGTGACCTAGTCGAGTGATTTAATTTGAGTCTTCGTCTTACCTGGCCGATGGTATTCAGATGGATCTGCGAGTGTCCTTCAACGTGTACCCGCTGACCAGGTGATCGGATGGGCTCGAGTATGACCTTTCAGCCCGACCTGCCGCTCTGCACGTGTGACCGTCCGGCCTGGGCCGGTGTCCAATGTGGGCCGCCGCCGGAGATGGCCCGGCGCGCCGGCCCGGCTGGTGGCGTGGCTTCCCTCGCGTGCTGTGTGCCGACCTCCAGTAAATTACCTCAGGCCCGGCGTTCCCACCGGGGACAGAGGATCACGCGGAGACGCTTCTTCCGCAGAGAAACACACACGTCCGCCGGGCACCCTGCCTCCGGGGATAAACGTTCCAAACGGTCAGCACAGGGCCGCGGGATGGACATGGTCCAACTCCAGACGCCGCCATGTTGCAGCTCGGCTCCGGAATGGTGTATAAATAGAGTTACGGCGAGTTCGCTCGGCGCGGTGGCGTATCGTTAGGTTTGTGCCACCTGTGGGAAATCGGCGGCCCTCTCCACCGGGACGGAACTGTAAAGAAGAGCCCCCGCAGCAGCGGCCCCGTCAGGAAGGACCCGGCTAGTCTCAGTGGAATGGTGCTCTGTGGCTTCCTATGCAGCAGACACGTGGGGTGTTGAGTGTTATCTGTTTGAATGGAATGGTGCTCAAAATTGCACCGTAGGTGAAGGACAAGAGTGTGCGCTCACCGTAACAGCACCGTTGACAGGTCGGCTATTGGCACCTCAATGCTTCAGTTCTGTCATCCTGCTTTAGCCCTCCGTTTTAACCTGGAAACATTCTACATGGAAGCCTCATCCCATCTCACTGGCCGATGCTTGTCGCAAATGCTTTGCTTTTAAATAGTTTCGCTTACAGTTGTAATAAGATGATTCCATTCCGTTCCGCGTTGCAAGAAGACAATCCCACTTTCCGGCACGACCCAGTGTCCCGGTGTAACCCGCCCAGTTCTGTGGGGAGCAGAGGAGCGCGAAAGGGACAGCCGGAGACGCTGGCGGTGGCGGGACGGCTGGCCGTGAGAATCCTCCGCCGATCGATCAGAGCCGAGACTGAAGGCAGCCCGGGCCACCACTGCACGGCCTGCCGCCACGGTCTGCCACTCAGCTCTGCCGCAGGCCGAGACGGACTGGGAGGAAGGACTCCGCTCACTAGGTGCAGTGAGGTGGAGGTCTAGAAGTTGTGTTGATGTTTCATAAACAGGAATTGTTTACAACGGATTAACATCATCACTAGGACAATTGCAGACACTATGCATAGAGTGTAACTTGTAAAATGTAAATTAAAATGAAATCGGACTTACTCCACAAGAGTTCGTTGGGTCGGAGCTTTCGAATTGTATTACAATTCTTCGTCAGCGAGAGTCGTATCGGATGTTAACATCGAATCGAAGGTACAGTGCGGATCGAACAAAATATGGGTCGGACAGGAGGGTCTCTGAGGCAACTAGTTGGTCTTGAAATAAACATACAAACACTGGGAAAACACGTGAATAATAACAGGATGCACACTTATTACTAGAAAAAAGCCTGTAAAATGGGTATAAAACACACTAGTAAAATATCTAATACAAAAATATAGGCAGGTAGGTAAAAATACAGTTAATGACATGTAAAAAATTGCATAGATTAGGTGCAAACAGTACCTAAAGCAGAGATAAAGCTTTACAAAAACACGAATAGTAAACTAGACCATGGATGATATAACACTGGATTGGTGTCTCGTGGAAATTAACATTGGGATCCGCGACATTGGGATCAGGCCTGCCATCTAGCGAGAGAATTATCGTAAGTAAGGAGCAACCCGAATGAACGCCATCTCTCAGCATTATGACACACGTGGGTGTGGTGTGCTAGTTGGCTTGAAGTGCATATTCCCACGAGTTGGAGGTAATCTTATTGGACTTGAGACGATAAAAAATGTCTTGAATGCTTGAAAGCCAAAAATGTCAAGCAGCATTAAGGTAATAACGAAAATAAAATGCGTACGACGGTGTGTATTGAAACGCCCAGTCCCATCGGCTTGTACGACCTTTTCAATGGTCATTTACTCACAATGGTACAGCAGTTTGACAATATGTCATACGTATTTGGTACGCTTATTCCTTCTTCTCCGAATTTCGCTCGATTTTCTTCATCTTAGTTAATTGTTACGGCACGTGCCACGTGCCAACTTAGGGGTGTCGAAATTGTTCCACATAAAGTAACTCCGCATTGGCTGGGCCCATTACAGTAAAACTTCGTCAATAGTTAGGCACCCAGTGGCCAATGCATTTCCATGTGTCACTATGAGGGTGCTACTGCACGTGCGCACGTGCGGACTGCGGGGTGCCACTTCCATATCTCAAGAACGGCTGGGCGGATAACACTCAAACTTGTACACAAATGTCACATCGATGCTCGCAATGCATTGATCAGTGCTTACATTGGTGCAGAGTCGTTAGGAAAACGATAAACTGAGATGCGTGGTGTTTATGCCTTTCTGTTCCAGCAGCTGATCATGATCTGCAACAGGAGATCCTTGTTTGTGAAGGCTTCGTCTCCCTTTTTCACTCCTTGTTTAAAATAACATTAACAATGTACGAAGAAGATCACACATCAAAGTTGTTTTGGGCGGCTATCTTGGGCCAGGGCTGCGGAATTGTAGTCAGAGCCAGCGGTTCAGTTCCTACTCGGAGTCGGTTGATTTTTAAAAGCTGTAGTCGGAGTATGAGTCGAACGTCACTGAAAAGTCATCGACTCCACAGACTTACCAGGGCTGCAGAGTCGGAGTCAGAGTCGGAGTCTGTGTGAATCGACAGTTCTGCCCGGAGGAGTCGGAGTCGATATTTGGATACCGGAATCGGAGATGGAGCCAAAGTCACTGAAATTTCATCGACTACGCAGCACTGGTTGGGTCTTTTTCATAGAGCGTCTTGAATGACGTATTGAGCGGCAATGACGTTAGCAAATCCGTTCAACTTTTTCATTAGACTTATAGATAGTACTTAACGTTCGTTTTGTTCTTTGATCGGGCAGCAATGATCAAGGTGATGTTGGAAGGGAGGCAGATTTGGGCCTTATTGGACTCTGGAGCGGACTTCTCACTGATCAATGAAGAGCTGGCCAACTCATTGGAGGAGCAGGGCGACCGGTTGATTGATCAACGGTCAGCCTCCTCTGTTCTCGGGGCTTCTGGAGAACACATTGACATCCTGGGATGTAGACAGATTGGATTCAGGATCCAAGAGGAAACATTCACCTGCAAAGTGGCGGTGACACGAGGCCTCATTGTAGACCTGGTACTGGGGCGAGATTTCGCGTGTCGGTATCGCTCGGTTCTGGACGATGAGGCAGGCGAGTGCCGCATTGGGAAATTGAGAATTCCGCTGCCATCTTACAGTGAAGTTCAACCGAGCAGATCAAGGGTACGCATTCTGCAGACATCGATCATTCCTCCACGTTCAGAAGCGTTCGTACTGGCAAAAGTCGAACCTTTGAACGGTGGGTCGCAAATGGACCCAGGCCAGAGCTTCCAGGGAGTCTTAGAGCCATGTGAGAAGAAGAACGCGGAACATCTATGGGTGCCACGCTCAGTGGCGATCGTCCGAGACAATCGGGTTATCCCGATCAAAGTGGTCAATACCGGCACGACCGAGGCTAAAATCATGAAGCACACAGACGTAGGAACGTTGTTCACCATCTCGGAAGGAGAAAAGGACTTGTACGATATCTGCGAGCAGGCAGATGCGTCAAAGGATGCAGCACAGCTTTCAGTCACGACTGTTCCAGGTCTGGATTTGGAGAATTGTGACTTGTCAGAAGAAGGTAAACGAGAGCTAGAAGCGCTGGTGCGTGAGTTCTCTGACATATTCAGCAAGGGCGCCGATGATATCGGAAGGACTCATCTCACTCAACATGAAATTAAGACGGGAGATGCCGCTCCGATCAAGCAGAGGCCTCGCCGAATACCACTGAAGCTGCGAGATCAAGTGGAACAACAAAAGGTCGAGATGCTCAGAGACGGCGTCATAGAAGAAAGCACCAGTCCGTGGTGCTCACCGATTGTGATGGTAAGGAAAAAAGATGGAAGCTACCGATTTTGTGTGGATCTGCGAGCTGTGAACAGCGTCACTCAGGGGATGTCCCATCCCCTTCCCCGAGTGGACGATGCACTGGACACACTGGCAGGAGCGAAATATTTTTCTTCGCTGGACATGGCGTCAGGATACTGGCAAGTCGAAATAGCTCCAGAGGACAGAGAAAAGACCGCTTTTACAACAGGCAAGGGTCTTCATCACTTCAAGGTCATGGCCTTTGGCCTCAAAAACGCTGGACCAACATTCCAGAAGCTCATGGAACTCATTTTGGCAGGAATGGACAACAAAACGTGCCTGGTCTACATTGATGACATCATTGTCTTCAACGGCACTGAAAAGGGCCATCTCGAGACACTGACTGAGATGTTCAACAGGATCCGCGGAGCTGGCATGAAGCTGAAGCCGAGCAAGTGTCTCCTGGGGAGGCAGGAAGTGACCTTCTTGGGACACAAGGTCATGTCGGGAGGAATACTTCCAGACCCGAGAAACGTGGAAAAGGTGGCTCAGTGGCCACAACCTCAAAACGCTGATGAGCTACTGAGCTTCCTGGGCTTGTGTGGCTACTACAGCAAGTTCGTCAAAGAGTATTCCGAGGAAACTAGACTGTTACGAGAGGCTGCAGCGCGAAAGGGCCCGCTCGATTGGTCACCCGAGCTGTTGAACGCCTTTGAAAGGATGAAATACGTGCTGACCTCCGCACCGGTGCTACGACTGCCCACGTTCCGAGGCAAATTCAGGCTGGACACCGATGCGTGCAACGCGTCGATAGGCGCAGTCCTCACCGAGACAGTCGATGGTGAGGATCATGTGGTCGCCTACGCCAGTAAAGTGCTGTCTAAGTCGGAAAAAAGATGGCCAACTTATGACAAGGAGCTTTGGGCAATTGTGTGGTCGATACGCCACTTCCGCCAATATCTGGTTGGCTCGCCGTTTACGGTGTGCACAGACCACAAACCTTTGAGAAACTTACCAAAGTCGATTGTGATTGAAAACGACGCTACGGGCAGAAGAGGTCGCTGGGCAGTCGAGCTCAGCTCCTATGAGTTCGAGGTCGAGATCAGACCGGGCGAGAGTCACGGCAACGCTGATGCACTCTCACGAAGACCTGCAAGAGACGAGGTGACGCCAGAGGTGGCGCCTGACGTCCAGTCAACAGCAGGGTCGCTCATGCCCCCGGTCCATTCCGTTCCGTTCGCGGGTGCGAAGGAACAGGACAGCGGTGAGGTGCCAAATTCACTGAATCGCAATGGAGATGACACGTCAGAACAGAGTCAGCACCAAACCGGAACGACAGCCGTCTGTCGAGAAGCCGAGGACCAGGCGAGCCAGATGTCCAGGTCTACCAACAGCGGACAGGGCTTCGCGAAAACAGACTGGCGGACGGTCCAGGAAGAAGACGAGGTGCTGTCTGAGGTCATTCGATGGGTGCAGGATGGCGAGGTGCATCGGTTTGATTCGAAGGCAAAAGGAGCTTGGAAGCGACGGATTTTTGCCAGAAATTTTGAAAACCTGGAAATCAGAGACCATGTTTTGGGCATCGTGAGGAAACACAATGAAGAAACCAGCTTCAGGATCCTGGTCCCACAGAGCAAGAAGGAAGAAGTTCTTCAGAGTCTGCATGATGATGAAACAGCGGGCCACATGGGTTTCCGGAGGACTCTAGACCGAGTGATGGAGAGGTTCTACTGGCCTGGTGCGTACGGAGAGGTCCGGGACTACTGCAAATCCTGCGTATTGTGTCAGCGCAGGAACCGGTCGTCTACCACAGCAAGAGCACCGCTACAAACTGAACTTGTGAGCCGACCGTTTGAACGTGTGGCAATGGACATCACTGAAATGCCCTGCTCTAGCAGAGGGAACCGCTACGCCCTGGTAATAATGGATTACTTTTCCAAAATGGTAAAAGTCTATCCCATGCAAAACCAAAAGGCTGAGACGGTGGCAGACTGCCTGCTGTTGTGGGTGTACGACTTTGGAGTTCCGGAGCGGCTTCATTCAGACCAAGGGCGGCAGTTTGAGTCGGCCGTTTTCCAGGAACTATGCAGAAGGCTTGGTATCGAAAAGACAAGAACAACACCGTACCACCCAGAGAGCGATGGGATGGTGGAGCGGTTTATGAGGACGCTCAAGGACGTCGTCTCAAAGTTTATCGAGCCACAGGGCTCCGACTGGGATTTAAAAGTCAGAGCAGCGGCTATGGCGTACAACTCATCGAAACACGAAACAACACAATACACTCCTTACTTCCTGGTCCATGGTCAGGAAGCCCGTCTTCCCGCGGATGCAAAGTTCCGTCCACCTGAACCACTGGTGCAGGTCCAAAGTTTCTTGGAAGACCGATCACGAACCCTGCAAAAGGCATTCCAGGACGCTCGAACCAAATCGGAAGAAGCAGCCAGGAAGATGAAAGGACGATGCGATAAGAAAGCGCACCTTACTGGTTACAAGGCGGGAGACAAGGTGTGGGTGACAGACCCTACGGCGGCAGCGGGAGGTAAGCCAAAGCTTGGCCTCCCATACAAGGGGCCGGCCACCATCGTTAAATCGTATGGAGAGCAGAGTGTGGTGCACAAGGTGCAAGGGCCAGGAGGAAGAATGACGAATGTGCACCACAACCGGTTGAAACCAGCCTTCTCGAGCAGGATTTTCCGCACGCGAGGTCGCCAGATAGCAGGAGCTGGGACGAAGGACGCTCGACCACCTCAGGGGATGGCTGATGGGTCAGCATCTGCAAATAGTAAACGGAATGAACATGCCAAGCGGGGGACACCGTGGTGTCGGAGCAGTCGGCTGTCATTTTACGAGTCTCGGGATGATGACAGCCTGGAGGCAGAGGTGGAAGAAAGGGAACTCCTTCAGCCAAGGGCACAGGAAAGTGGAGCTGCGCGGACAGAGCAGGTAGAGGGCAACCGCTATTACAAAACCCGGTCGGGCAGGGTAGTAAGACCACCAGAGCGATTCCAGGCGCTAGCTGTTCAATTCTGCGAATCTGTTTAAAGGAGGGCAAGCCCGGCCACAGGCTAACTCACAGGCGGCGGAGGCAGCATCCCATGGTATACCTCCCAGATGGGGTCCATCTGATCCCAGAGGGCTGCCGGAAGATCAGTGACCTGCTCCCACGGGATACCTTGGAAGTGGTTAAGAAGACGGGGCATCACTCCACGAGCGGCATCAGCGGCAGTAGCGGCACCAGCAATAGCAGCGGCAGCAGCAGCGCAGCAGCGGCGGTAACGTTGGGAGACATTGTCATGTTTGCTGTTCGGTGACTGCTCAGCGCAGCGAGAGTGTTCATGTTGACATGATGTGTGGTTGCCTCGTTTTGTGTTGTTTTGAAAGTGTACCGTTAATGTTACTCAGGAGGACCATCCTGTAGGGGCAATTTCTTTAGGGGGGAGGAGTGTGGCGTAGTTAAGTTATAGCGGCGTAGGCGGTGGCTCCTCGGCCCTTGTGGCGCGGGCCCGACCGCGGGCGTAGGAACCGCGACGCCCGTGGTTTATGGCGCGGCCCCGAATGTCAGGGGCGTGGCCCTGCGCGGCCGGCGCGGTGCTGGGTCGCCGCCGAGAGGCGGGCAGTGTGTTGGAGTCGGTGACCGGGAGCGGACGCAATAAATGAGAGTGCAAGTCTGAGGACTGTTGGCGTCGGAGACAACAACACAACAATTTGTTTGATTTAGGCCAAGTAAAACTCATGTGAAAAATAGCGAAAACGACACGTGCTGGCGAAGTCTCCAATAACTCCCTGTTTCACGATTTAATGAGGAAATAACATGGAACTGCTTATCTTATTACTGACCCTGCACATAAATTTATTAATTTCTTCGCTTTTACTGACATATAAAGACAAAACCTTTTGAAAAATTGCACGACAAGCCCGCTACTACAGTACCACACTCCCATGTGTCACAATGCTAATCAGCGGCGTTCACTCGGCTTGCTCCTAACTTACGATAATTCTCCCGCTAGATGGCAGGCCTGAGCTCAATGTCGCCAAAAACTGCCAAGACACCAATCCATTATTATCTCATCCATGACTAGACTAAGATATAAAATATCAAAATGATAAATTCTATAAATGAACTTTTTAACGGCAGAAACGGCGAATAATGGGAAGCCACCTGTCTTGCAGCAGGGCACCAGAGTTGCGGTTCACATTCGCGTCATTGGGTGACACTAGGACGGCTTCCCGCCGTCCCACGGTACGAATGTAGGCCGATTCGAGAAGGAGTCTCATCTGGTGGTGGCAGGCACGGTTCAGGATTTTGGCGTCGTCGAAGGCCGGCGTGCAGTCCCGGTGCGTGCTGAACGCTGAAGCGTTGGCTCTGGAGCGGACCGAGCCAGCCCAGCTCTCTCGGTGCTCGCGGACTCTGGTTCCAAGTTCTCGGTCCGTTTCTCCGATGTAGACGACCGGGTCACCTTCTACCCGGCAGGAGCACTCGATGCAGTAGATGACATTGCTCTCCTGCTGCTTGGGTAGACGGTGCTTGGCTTGGCTACAGAGGAGGGTCCCGATGGTCTGCGACGGCTTCGACACGAGCTGAATGCCGATCTTGTTGGCTTCTCGCTTCAGTTGGTAGAAGCAGGGACCAGCGAACGGAACCGAGAGCCGGACGGGTGCAGGCAGCGGGCTGGGGTTCGGTGGCGACGGCAGAGCCCTGGCCTTCAGCTGGAGGTCCTTTTCTGTTCTTCTTAGGATCGGGTTGATGAACGAGAGAGGGTAGCCGTGTCGGTGGAATTTCTTGCGTATAAAATCAAGTTCTTGCAGGCGGTCTTTGACGGAGGAGCAGTAGCGGATGGCACGTAAGCAGTCAGATCTGATGGCTGATCTCAGATAGCGCGTCTCTGTATAGGAGTTGAAGGCCGGTACTTGGTTAGTGGTGCATGCCTTCCGGTAGACATTTGTAGTGAACTTGTTGTCCTGTCTTGTGATCATGATGTCTAGGTAGGGCAGTCGTCGATTTTCTTCGATCTCAGTAGTGACTTTGATGTTCTGGTCCTTGTTGTTGAGCAGCTCCACCCATGCATTGAGGATGGTGTCGCTGCCTTCGAAGAGGACCAGGTAGTCATCAGCATATCTGCAGAATGAATAAATTCTCCCTCCACAGTTGGCTGCCAGTAGTTCCAAGTCACGTTCCCAGTGTCCCATGTACAAGTCCGCGACAACTGGTGAGTAACTTTTACCCATGGCTAGGCCAGCAGTCTGCCTAAACCATCTCTCTCGGTCGCCGTCCTGGACGACAGCATGGCAGTTCTTGATGGAGATGCAGAGAAGGTCAGCCACTGCATCTGGCCTCAGGCAGGTTACGTCAGAGAGGGCGTCTTGGTTTTCATTCAGCATGGTTCGAATGAGAGAGATGGCCGACTGGGTAGGTATAGATGGGAACATGGCCTCCACATCCAGCGAGATGAGGCGGCAGCTGTTGGTGGCGTGACCCATGCTCTGCAGCAGATCCAGGACTTCCATCGGAGAACTGATGGAGTGTGGAGGCCGTGGGAGAACTTTTAGACAGGCTGTCAGATGTTTTGTGAGCTCGTAGTCAACACCCCGGTGAGCTGGGCAGATCGGCCGGAGTTTCAGGTTAGAAATCCAGCTGAGTCGCTCTTCTTCAGTGGATGGTGGATTCGGGTACTTGTGGGTCTTGACCAGGCCATAGAATGGACCGCTCCGACCTTTACAGGCTTTTTCTAGTAAGTGTGCATCCTGTTATTATTCACGTGTTTTCCCAGTGTTTGTATGTTTATTTCAAGACCAACTAGTTGCCTCAGAGACCCTCCTGTCCGACCCATATTTTGTTCGATCCGCACTGTACCTTCGATTCGATGTTAACATCCGATACGACTCTCGCTGACGAAGAATTGTAATACAATTCGAAAGCTCCGACCCAACGAACTCTTGTGGAGTAAGTCCGATTTCATTTTAATTCACAATTCATCTCCACATCATGTCTTTAAATTGTAAAATGTACATATTTAGCCGTACAAAATCCAGTGGATGCCCACTCCCTAGTCAAGCCCAGCATGCTTTGGTCCGGAGTCTGACTGGGAGATTATGGAACTAATCTTGCCTGGTTCTTATCTGACCTTGACCTTGTCTTTATCCGAATTTCTCAATCTCTGCTGCAAATGTCAATGCTAAAAGGCTTTGGTCGCAACCCGGCGCACTTCCGTATTCCTGACTCAGTGGTGGTGACCTTCCGTGACCTCGGCAAAAGGTACCGTCCTCCGCGCTGGCCAGCTAATAAACTGGATTTGCGTAGTGAATGAAGAGATACGAGGGTGCGCTCTACCAGGCTGCAGCCCTTGGTGGAGGCTGGGACTGAGACCATGAGCTGACCAGCGACCAGTGTAGCTTTTAAAACACTGAAAATGGAAATGTAGGTGCGTGTGCTTTTCCTAGAAATTTTGCTTATGTAGAATGGCGTGCTCTTAACTTCAGGTATGCTGATTGCTGCCTTCGTGGGTGAGAAAAATCAAGTCATTTCTCCTGAAAATAACCGAACGGTCGGCGAGCCACGAAAGGTCATGAGCTAATGGCAAGATGAGAATGTAGGAGCAACAGGGATGGGCTGGAGCAGAGCACGTACACTGTGCGATGCAGTGTTTTCTCGTGCTTACTTAGGCTACTAACCCAATGAGACTCCTGCGTCGTTCCTCTGACTGACCGTGTGTCCGTGTGTGCTCCCACAGTCAGACGGAGGAGGGGGGCTCCGAGTCTCACCGGCGGAGGGCTGACCGCACACCGTCCCAGCGAGACGACAGTCTGAGGAGCGGCGGCGGCGGCCGGCCCACACCGGCACGATGGGCGGACAAGGTGAGAGCGCGCAGCAACACCGCGCCGGTGCGGCGGTGCAGGGGGCGAGACTGTGAGAAAGCGCTGCTGGGAGGCCGCCGGAACATACCTACTTCGGTATCAATGGTTTTGTGTGTGTTTTACATTAGGTCAGAAGAATTGCTCTGTTTGAGTAGTTGGGGTTTTCGAAAATGATTTTTAGACAATTGTGAGTACAATGCTTCCATTTTAAGTGGACTGCCGGCTGCCGCAGTATCGCTATAACTACTATGATCGTTTCTTCTAATTCAGCATAATCCTCTCCAAACCTCATGAGTCATGTGTTAATTATATCGCACAACTGTGGTATGTATGCCTACCTCAGAAAGTCCCTCGCAGTTGGAACCATGGGCTTAGTTGCGTCCTTAGGCGGCACAATGATCAAAGTTGGAAATACCACATAAGACCTTTATGTTAATTCCGACTAGATTTGAGTCAGCTTGACAAAGTTAGCGCGGTTACCCGCGGAGTGTTGGCCCGTTGTATAAACTGCATGCCTGAGGGACTTCATTTACGTCAATGGATGGTCCCTCCCGGCCTTATGTAAGGACGTGTGCACACCCGGGGCACAGAATAACAGAGCTGCTAGTAATGGGGAGAGCTGCAGTCACAATGAAGTTGTGTTTACAGGACATATTGAAATGCAGCGCTCTTTTTTGTTTTGTTTAAAGCATGCTTCTTATTCAAAGAAGGATAAGCATTTGAAAGGCATTTGAAACAAAGAAGCTTGAAAAATAAGCTGAATTGAAAAGAAGCATACTTAAAGTTTGAATATTTGAAATCGACAATAAATAATGCTAACTTTAACCTCTGTTGGCGGAAATCACAAAGAGCCCTGTCGCCAGCCGGTACGTTTTTACTTATAAGACTGATTCAAAGCTGCGAAGTGCATTCAAACATTGATTGGTGCCTGCCCAACTGATAAAACACGGTAAACTTGGTGGATTGGCCGGATACTCTGCCTCTGACAGCCTCTGCCTCCATTGAGTGAGCGCAACAAATAATCAAATAAATGTACTGTGGCGCGGGACATTGCCACGGGGCGACTCCTGGGAGTGCGATGGTGCATCTCGAGCAGGCCACTCCCCATCCAGCGCTGCCCGATGGCAGTCTCCTGGGAGGAGACACGGAGACGCAGACCCATCGGAAAACGATCGCACGACATAGGAGAGAAGCGGCCATCAGGATAATCGGGGAATGGAACAGCAGGATAATTATCATACAGGGGTGATTACACCCACGCATACAAACAGACTTAATAACCCAACGGTTATTAACCCATTACGACCATTACACAGTATAGAACAATCTTCAAACAAAGCGGTCGCCACCTAACGTGTCACCACTAGGTCAATCACCACACTACAGAACAGCGGCCACACTCGCTCGGTATACGCCTCCCCGCGCAACAGGTGTGCTCGGTGGTCGCAGGAAGCCGAGGATCGTGTCGATGGGCGGCTGGCCGGTGCCGGGCCGCGCTCTGACCGCCCGCCGGGAGGGTTGGGACGGTGCCGCCCACCAGCGGTCGATGAAGGCGACGGCCGCTGTGCAGCCGCCCAGAGTCGGGACAGAGGAACGGCAGGAGAGGAGGGGGTGGAGAGAGAGAGAATGGTGGGAGAGGAGGGGTGGAGAGAGAATGGTGGAAAGGTGGTGGAGTGGATAAGAAGGTAATGAGGGTAGAGGTGGTGGGTGGATAAAGAATGGTGGGGAGGTGGTAGACTGGATAGATGATAAGAATATAATGTGAATAGATAACGGGGTAAAAGGTGTTGTGTCGGCTAGATGATGTCGAGAGAGCTACTGGAGTGGACAGATACTTGCTAAAGAAGTGCATTGGAAGGCAGTGCCCAAACAGGTGGCTACCATCCTGTCTCGCTATTTTTATTCTGGTCCCGCCTTATTGGAGCCTCAAACTGACATTTATTCGACAACCATTCAATATATCCGACATTCGATTTACCTGGCAGTATGTGCGCCACTAACTCGCTCAAAACGGGACCGTTTCCGACTAGTAACGGTTTTGCCGGGCGACCATTTGGCCGGTAAAGTATCCGATATTTGCACCCGAACAGTTCTGCGACTATTCGGTACGATTGAATGGGTTGCTGCACAAGTGATGTTGATTTCAAGCCCTGGCAATCTCAGTGGTCGCTATGGACGACCTGTTGGTGGTAGACAGGGGAAATGTGTGTGATGAACCGTTATCACTTTCGCTGTTACATCTCTGTCAACGGAGAATGCGTAGGTCCGATAGGCGTTATCACAAGTGTATTCGCGGTCATTGGGGCGACGTAAGAAAAGAAGAAAACAACTGGCCCCAAGAACTTTAAATTATCAGTTAGCATGCATCTTTTCCTTGATCTGTAGATAATTTATCATTAATTGCTAGAGAAAATTGCATTTAAAATCTTCCATCTATGTTTTTTTCATCGTTTGCACAATATGTTCTTTTTTAAAATAGAAACACTAATTAGAAATAGTTCCCGCATCATCAAGAACAATAGGGAAGGCTTGAAGTGAATACAATAATCTTAACGGTGTTGTAATCTAGGTATGTGAAGACACTTCTAAAATTGCCTGTAGAAATATTGAAGGCAAAAGTTCAACTTTTTCACAAGACGGATGTCTATAAACCTATTCAACGTGTGACAACTCAGCCGGTATTTCGTCGCCTACAGCCCAGCTTTCCCTAGTGACCGATAGAGGCGCTGCTATCGATGTCCGCCCGTGCCGCCTAACGCAAGGTTGTTTCAAGTGTATCATTTCAATTTTCGTCACCATATTTTGTTTCAGTTTTTTTTTCAAGATAGTTTACAACGGAGAAAGCGTAGTTTTCATTTCAGGAAGGCTAACTTAGCTGCTAATCTTCATTCGCATATTGTACCTGATTTTTCATAGAAATATTATCTAATTTGAAGTGTATCGCATTCCCAGAGTCGTATATCTCATTCTCATTAAACACTGTCAACGAAAACTCATGGTTTCGCTTCCTGGAATGGAATAGCTTCCAACCGCCCACAGGCTTTCCGAGAAGCGAGGAGGTAGGATTTCTCATTAGCGACATGTAGGAGACACTGTCCTGTGGTTCGGGGAAGCTCTCATGCATACATTGGTCCTGCCCAAAGTCAAGCTCCACGTCATGAATCACGCATAGCCCTGCAGTAGCCAGGTCCTTGGCACGTATAGAGACGTTGCATGTGGATTGTCTTGTCCACGCTGGTGGTCCCTGACCTTTTCCTCTAGTCCTGACTGGTTTTGAGTGCACAGGACACTGCCTAAGGTTTCCGCATTGGTGGTCTGTGCCCTCCTCCGAGTCCAAACCAGTGCTATGTGCTCTCACATGGCGGCGGTCCGATATGTGCTGACCTGACTCGTACTGTATTCGCAGGGCGGCGGCAGCTGGCGGCGGCTGAGCGCCTGGTGCGGCGGCGGCCATACTGTCCTGACTGGTACTGTATTCACAGGGCGGCGGCAGCTGGCGGCGGCTGAGTGCCTGGAGCGGCGGTCCGATAGTACTGTCCTGACCTCTGACTGGTACTGTATTCACAGGGCGGCGGCAGCTGGCGGCGGCTGAGCGCCTGGTGCGGCGGCGGCTCGGACCGGGCACACCACCACTCGGCGATGGACCTGCCGCTGGCGGCGCGCACGGCTCCCAACGGCCGCCACCAGTCGCTCCGGCAGACCAACAGCGCCGTATACACGACCCCCACCTACATGTGCACGTACGGGCGGCACACCATCCCCTCCCCACTGCCCATCCTCAGCGGGCTGCGGCGCAACGCCAGCGCCGGCACGCTGGGCGCCTCGCGGAGCCTCTCCTCCGAGAGCGTCTACACGATCGTCATCAAGTTTCCGGAGCCGGTGACGCCCAGCGCCGACCCGAGCATCACCATGCTGAGCGACTCGGACGCGGACGCGGAGGCGGGCCACCAGCCGCACTGTCCGCTGAGCAGGAGTCCGGCGCCGGCGGCCGCCAGGGCGGGGGCCGCGGCGGCCAGGGCGGCGCGGAGACCGACCCCAGCAGCGGCGGCGGCGGCGGCGGCGGCAGCAGACGACAGCGACAGCTCGGACGAGGACCTGCCGCTGCCGCCGCCCCCGCCGGTCTCTCGGCGGCCCTCCCAGCTGCCGGACCTGAGGATCCCGCTCAACGCGCGCGTCATACCCAAACAGCTCGCCAAGGCGCCCAATCCGAAGAAGAAAAAGAAACGCGAAGAGAAGAAACAGGAGCGGAAAGCGGCCAAGACGCTGTCGGCCATTTTGTTGGCGTTTATAATCACGTGGACGCCGTATAACGTGCTGGTGCTGATTCGAGTAATGTTGGAGTGTGACGACTGCATCCCGGACCAGTTGTGGAACTTCTCCTACTACCTCTGCTACATCAACTCCACCGTGAACCCGCTCTGCTACGCCCTCTGCAACGCCTCCTTCCGCAGGACCTATGTGAAAATCCTCACCTGTACGTGGTCCAAGAACAAACGTCACCCGGCCAACAGAGTCTACTACAACTGACAGATTGTGTTGGATTGTACCGACTCTGCTGTTGGCGGCAGTGTGAGTGAATTGTTTGTGAAGCTTGTCCAGCTGACCATTTCCGTCGGCTCGGTACTTTGTATGTGTGTATCTGCGATGTTAAATGTTATAAAACGTTGTGTTAACTTTCAACGGAAGAGAAGAGGGGAAGGTAGGGCCTGGCGAAAGTTCTTCGCCCGTTGTTTGAAAAAGGTCTACATCGCGCTAACAAGTGCATACTGGATAATTGTTCCAGGAAGTTTTACTGCTCAGTGTTTCAAAGAGGGAACAGTTCGCGTTTCCGACTGGTTACACGCTTGTGGCCAAAGATGTTCTCAACTGCTTCCTAAAAATGTGACCTTTATCGGCGCCAAGTGTTATTGAGCTTTCAAGAGGCTTGTCGACGTTTTCTTAAGAGTATGAGTGTTTGGCTTAGAGACTCAAGAGTTAGGTGTTATTCTAGAGTAAAGATTGAATAGCATAACGATAACCGATTACATAAAAACATTATAATTTAGAAAGCTCACAATCTTTATTGAGGTTGCCCTTTTTATCCATACTTTACAATTCGTGTGGGGCTTGCCACCCTAAACAAGCCATTCTTCGAACAACCTGGGTGTCAATAATATTCAAATCGGTGTAACATGCACAAAATGATTTCGCTCTCCAAATTAGTTGTAGAGTGGGTTGAAGCAGTAGCATTGAGCAATACTGGCGATGGCCCTTTCCACATCGAACTAAGACGGTTCTGGTCGATTGATGAACGTTTAAGCATGCCATTGTCTCGTTTGTAGATGAAACAGTTGTGTCACATTCATATACATATGACATTCGTAAACTTCGACCTTTATGTTTCACTTTTAGTCGGCTGTGTGTAAGTGTGTGTTTTCGGTGGAGATGTGTGTCTAGATGTGACTGGACTGTACCGAGCATGTCGCTGATTTCCAGCCATGCCGTGTCAGAGCCCACGTTTGCCGTGCGATGCGACTCCGCCGGGAGAATCTAGTCCGTTTGCCGCGTGGTATTACTCCGCCGGGAGACTCTAGTCCGTTTGCCGTGTGGTGTGACTCCGCCGGGAGGCTCTAGTCCCGCCATGTTTTCCCGTGACGGCGCTGTACGGTGTGTAGCTGTAGGAAGGGGACCATCGCTTCAGTGTATATGAACTCGGGCCACCGTTTTTCAGTGGCTGCTCTCACGTTTCGCATCGAGCGTCTTCCCAGACGCCGACTTTAGCGAGTGAGGGACCTTTGGCAGATACATATCTTCCGTGAGACCGACATTTGCGCCGACACGGCCCGTCGGCTGCGTATCGATCGGTGTGAGGTTTGACCCGCTGTTTCCTGTTGTATTTAAAGGTGGAAAGCGAACGGTTTAGAGGACTGCTTTTATGCCGTTCGTTTTATCGACGCTCATTTCATTGCGATCCTGAAGGCATTTTGGCTAAAATTTGCCTGAGACATCCGTAACTGCATCCCTGATACCGCCAAATAAGCGTAAGATGTTTGTTGTTCACAACATTTGTCGATTATCGTACCCGCACACAATTTTATACGCCCAAGAACACGAAAAGCTCATATTTTCGAGCGTTGATCTACGCGCTTCTGCGTGTATGTGTATGCATGCGTAGATGAGTGTTTTCTGGAGCTGGTACCGTGGTATCTTGATGTCGACCAAGCGCAATTGCGCTGGATAGGTACTTCACCATGTCATCGCTTTGTGTTTTTGGCCACATTCTAATGGTATTGGGTTACATGAATGCATTATGTCTATGTGGAATGAAGTGGGTTGAACTATGAATAAACTATTGCCTTCATGGGCGTCCTTACGGGATCATCGTTCAAACCTTTCCGTCCTGTGGCTGAATCGAGCCGTTTGTAGGTAACATCTCTTTCACATCTACCCTGCGTGGTTGGCGATATCACGGGCCCAGTCCCATATCTTCTCCCATTTGAGCATGTCACGCAGGTACTCTAGTGCTCTGAGATGCATCTTATAACAGCAACTGGCGAAACGCTCTCCGCAACGGACCGGCTAGAAACGCAGTTGGTGAGTGAATGCAACGGTTGATTGCTTATGTTCGCGGAGCACACGGCTCTCGCGGAACCCTGCGGAGCGTCGGCTAGACTGCACCGCAATACATGCCTGTCAGGCGGGACAGTCTACCCTCCAGTGAACGGCCGCGCGCTTCAGGACCGGAGAAGATCGCCGGCCTACGAGACAAACCGAACCGATAGCAAACGATGCATGGATAAATGCAATGGATCCTTCATCATACCTATTGGATGATCATTGATCAGTCCGCTGATCTAATCAGTCGCCCATTGTCTGCGCCGGAAGCTCGTTATACCTGTCGACGATACCCCGGCGGCAACAGGTTGTCACCGATCGGCCCTCAGAGTAACCTTGTTTACCAGGAGGGCCGCTGAGTGGATAGTGTCAGCCGAGAGTGCGGGGCTGTTCAGAAGGAACGCCGGGTGCTGCGGAGACTCGCCCAGTGCGGAGCTGGATCTCTGGATACCGCTGGACCCCGAGAGGGTCGCAGCAGATAGCGGCGGCCGCGCTGGAGATGCTCTCAGACGGCGCCCGATACGAACGGTCGATGGCGGAGCGCTGCTCGGATAAGCCCCGTCATGGAGCCATAAACTGAGAGGCGAGAGAGCGGACGAGAACGGACGGGAGCACACGTCAGCGGCAACAGTCGGACGAGGAAGGAGCGCTGTGTGGCGAGAGTGAAGACGGTACGTTTTCCGGGAAAAGGTGGACTGATAACGCTGTAGGTGAAGAATAACAAGGGAACAGGATTTTCACTGATCAACTTATTCCAACCTCCGATCGGTCGTTCTTCCGCGTTCATCGCAAGCAATATTTATATCCCATACACCGTTCAGCGAACGCCAAGTTCAAGTGAATTTCTGCACCTGGAATCGTCGGCCCTGCGGCCGTCCGTCTTCTCGGCGCTGGGCCGCTCCGAGGCCCGGACCCTGACCGAGGCCGTGCTAAGTCTCAGGGAACGGTCGGACCCAACGCTGTCTATAACGCGATGTCGAAACGTCCACTTCAACAGGAAATAGTAGCCTGACTCCCTCACCTCTTCCCTCCCTCCCAAACCTCTCTCCATCCAGCTCAGAAACTCCGCGGACATCGGGAGTCTCTCTCTCTCTCTCTCTCTCTCTCTCTCTCTCTCTCTCTCTCTCTCTCTCTCTCTCTCTCTCTCTCTCTCTCTCTCTCTCTCTCTCTCTCTCTCTCTCTCTCTCTCTCTCTCTCTCTCTCTCTCTCTCTCTCTCTCTCTTCTTTATCCCTTTGTTTGTTGTTTGTTTGTTGGGGGTTAGGGGCGCGCCGACTACGAGGTCATTTTGCGCCCATTTCTTTTGCGCCCAAGCATGCGCTGGCTTCTTTATCCCTTTGCCTTTCTCTCCTCTATCTCGCTCTTTCCCTCTTCCAAACTCAGAAGCTCCATTGTCACCTCTCACGGTGGTGTGTATTGTAATATGAACGTGATTCACACTGGTCGTTGTTCAGTTAAGAAGAAAAGGCGGCCATATTAGGCAGCAGCGACTCTCACACGCACCTCCCCCCCCCCGCAAGACCGCCAGTCCCCGGTATATTGCGACATTGAAACATACGCTGCATCGCTCTGGCATGAGGACGTGGCTGCCTGCATTGACGAAAGCACCATCATGCGAGTCTAAACAAAATCACAGCTAACAGGCGCAAACAGAATGTACAGTTATTAACTTAACCAATAACAATAAATATGGCATGCGCTGGCTTCACCGTAGACAATGGTGGTGTAAATAGCGAGAAAAAAATGACTAGCGTGGTGAAAGTCAAATTAACTACTCCCAGGGATTCGTTCACAAACAAAACATCCAACTAAGCTCACACACACGCGGCACTGTGTATCACAAGATAGCTGTTCGTCGGCCCCCTCAGCAGCGAGTCGCTGTCGGCCGACTGCCGACGGTGGAATAAGGCCAGTGCAGGCGGTGCCGCCGCCCGCTGTATACAGTCAGTCAGACTCCTCCCACACACGTCAGCACGGGCAGTGAGGCGCGGACGGCCCGTCATCTGCTGCCCTCAGTCGGCCTCAGAGGGCTCCGGGTTTTACCGGTACCGGTCAGCAGCAGCTGCCGGACGAGGGAAGGAAATCCAGTCCCACACCAGCGTGAGCCAGCCACTGACAGTGCGACGGCGAATTTCCACCCTGCAGAGCACTGGTGACCGACAGAAGGCTGGTTTGGTAGTTGGTACCCCTCCTGCAGCCGACAGGCCGACCCGCGGCGTGCTCGAACGCTCCAGGCGCCAGCGAGCCGATCTCGGAGAGAGGGCTCATATTCAGACATGGGCCAAATACATCACCCTCAGCAACCCCGACCCGAACTGACGTCTGAGCATCAAAAAACCAGTACAGCAAACGTCCAGACAAGGGAAACCGTTCCGTAATCAATTCCAGCCCGACCCTAAGATCCCGGCTCGGCAGCGCGACTAAACACTTCAGCAGCTGCTCTGCATAGGCCGATTTCCAAGTGAAATCAAAGCTGCGCCGCTCGATGCCGCGGCACGTCAGCGTTGCGTCCAGTCGGAGCGGATTGAATCTCTGTCTGCCGATAAATCGGCACCGCTCCGCCGCCGCGCCGAACCGTTTACGAGCGCCGCGCGCCCGTGACTGGGAGAGGGAGAGGGAGAGGGAGAGGGAGAGGGAGAGGGAGAGTCCACCTGGGCGGCCATCGACCGGCGGCCGCGCGGCGAGCGAGCGGCCCGGGCCGGCCGGGAGACCGGGAGGCGAGCGACGCACCGGCCCGGCAGAGGAGCGGGGAAAGAGAAGCGGAGCGGAGAGGAACGGAGCTGAGGTAGAGGAACGGAGCAGGGAGGCGAGAGGAGTGGAGAGAAGAGTAGACAGAGAAGCGGAACAGGGGAGAGTGGAGCGAGGAAAGTAGCTTGGACAGAAAAGCAGGGAACGAAGCAGAGCAGAGTTGTTAACCGAGCGGAGAAGTCCCTGAAAACAAGTCCGGAGCGGAACGGAGAAGCTGGAACAGACGGGCGAGGCAGAACAAGGAAGAGAAAACTTTGTGAAACTCGGGGAAGGAGAGCGAAGGATGCAGCAGCCGCACAATCACGGCGCAGCAGAGTGAACAACGAACTGTGCGGGAGAGCAAACTCGGGAGGAAGGAGGACACGTGAAACGCGAATATAGATGAGATGAAACCAGAGACAGAAGGCGAGACGGAGCGGTGACGATTCCAACCCGAGTCGCAAACACAGCGGTGATACAGTGGAAGCCAGACGAGGCCGCAGGTCGGTACAAAGCAGCCGATCTTCTTTGTGGCCGGGGAGCGGCTCGGCGCGCGCGCTCTCAGTCGATTTTTGCGGCCTCTCCGGTGGCCAGCAGGCCCTCAGCGGCGGCCCGGGGCGTGCCGTGCCGGCCGGCCGGTCAAGGGCCGTTCACGGGTCCTCCAGGCTCTCCGCCGGCCGGAGAGCCGCGCTGCGTAACGAACCGAGACGGCCGACACACGGGCCGAGACCGCCCGGCGCAGGGGAACGCCGCCGCGCCTATCACTAGTCGCTTTGATTCACGCAAATAGACATGCAAGTGCATAGTGCCACAAAAGGGCAAAATTCGCTGACTAGATAAAGCATGCAATATCACAAGAGTGAGCTCACATTCTCGACTAGCTAATAATAATATAACAATAATGTATAAAACCGCGTCATAGCGCGTGCACAATATCGACCACGTGGAATGTGAAGCGATCCGAAAGACGGGCGAGTCAAACGCATGCACATTTAGCCAAGGCGCTGACGAGGTCGGTCTGCCGTGATCCCTGCGGACCAACCAGCCGAGACCATGTCCAGACCGCGGCCCAGCCGAGACTGACGGTCCGACCTCGGACCGTCGGACGGTTTGTGGTGGCTCGTCGCACCCCAGCACCACCGGTATATCCTCCATCACAGAGAGGCCCGGCTGGACCTCGCGGTATCCACGGACGAATCACGGCAGGCTCGTCGTTCTAGGCCTCAGCCCGCCGTTCAGTGCAGCCCCTCAGCGCTGGCGGGCGTTACAGGACTGGCCGGGAAGGGACCGGACGGGCCACCGCTGCGTTCCGGCCGGCTACATGTGCCCGCCGGCCGTCGGCTGTTCGGGCGTCAGCACATGGTGCAGGATGAAGTAGACGAGGTCGGCGCTGGACCAGTAGTTGGAGTGCGAGGTGAGCGCCTGCAGGTACGAGCCGCCGATACCCGACGACTCGCGTAGCACGTAGTCCCAGCGGTGCTCCAAATCTGCGGCACAAAAACACAGGGCAACCATTAATATATAACGGTACACATAATATAAACAAAAACATATACCAGACGACTGGCGCGGCATGTAGTCCCAGCGGTGCTCCAAATCTGTGGTACAAAACAAACACAGGACACAGGTAAAATACATTAGTAGTTGAAGTTACATGGGTAGTTGAACAATGGGACACATGCAACCAGAGCTGCACCCCCAGGCCAGAGGCCAGAGCTGTAGCGCACGGCTAATAAAGCAGACAATTAGTAACGTAGAAAATATACCAGACACCCGGCTGGGGTATAAGACCAGCAACGGACAGCCACTTGCATACAGTGCCCACGCCCCACTGCTGACACCAGACTGCCGGCCGAGTTCTAAAACCAGCGCTACAGAGCCAGTTAAAGCATATAATCGCACCCACACCAGACCGCCGGCTGGGGTCTAAAATTAACGCCGGACAGCCAGTTACAGCAATGCACGAGACAGACAGTCAGATTCTAAATCAGACATCGTACAGCCAGTTCCAGTGCATAATCGCACCTACACCAGACAGCCGGCTGGATTATGTCTTCTGAGAGCGGCTCCAGTCTCACTCTCCGCAGAGATCAGTCCCCATCACCAGGCCCTGTCAGAACCACAAATCCCTGGCCTCCTGGCCTTTCATGTCTCTGCTCCGGCGGCGACACGGCGCCTCAGCCCCTGCCAGGGCCGGCCGGGCGGTCCGTCCGTGTGCGTGTAATCCTGACCAGCCTAATTGGCCGGCGGATCAGTGGGCAGCGCGGTGCTCGGTGATCCGTACTGTGTGGAACCGTGTGCTACCGCGTGTATGGACATCAATGGGGAGGTCAGGGACATGGGAGATGAAAGAGCTGTGGGAACGATGGGGTAGGGCGCTTAATCTGCTCTGGTAGATAAATAGCTTAATCCACATTAGGTCAGTGATCGCTCCAATTAAGTACTTTTGAACGTCCACTTTAGGCACCCCTGTCCTCGAAACTTACTCCTTCCTTCTCCCAACCTCTCTCTCCCTCCCCCGAATCTCACCATCTCTCTAACCCCGCCCCCATCCTCAGTGTCGTCAGTATCAGCTCGAGCGCCGCCGCCGCGCCGCCTCAGACAGGGGTGACGAGGTCCGTCCTCTCACAGAGGCCCGAAATAGGCCGGCGGTCCCTGACGGTGACGGCCAGCGGACCGGGAGGGGGATTAAACGGGACACGGCGGCCGGGGCGGACCGTGAGATATGTGGTGAAAGTGACGGTGCCGTTAACGGCCTCGGTGCCAACAGTAACACTATATTAAATTTAACCCCAACAGTTAGCTTTACCTCCTGATCCACGTTTGATGCTCAAAAGCCTTCAAGAGATTTTTAACGACAGAAGGCTCCAGCCGAGAACGCCTGTTTCTGTCCTCAGGTGGGAAGGGGCAGCAACTGTAGCTCCACCGTTCTCACTCACGGAGGCGGCGGAGATGAAACTATCGTCACCTACATATGTGAGAAGTGAACTGTAGAATGTGTCACTGACGCACGCGGGTGAGAAGTGAGTGCACAATCCGACTTACCGACGGAGGCGGTTCTTTGCATGGGCGATCCGGGACAGCTGGCTGACCGGGTGGCCGCCTTCTCGCCCTTCATCAGGGTCCACAGACTCCAGCCTGGCGGAGGATACGGGCACGGTTACATAAAATGGAGGGAGTTGGCAGACGGATAAAGGCACGGCCACATTGACACAGCCCGCTGTAGGATACAGCACAGGTCACATACATGAATATCACATTCACTACACACATCACACGGCACAGTGGATACATACTTAACAGACACTGATATTATGACGAAATAGCATTGGACAGAAATCCACTAAAGCACTGTTCTCCCCTTTACCATAGTAAATTCAGAACAAAAAGCGCGGGGATTGATAACTGGCGGATGGCAAACACTGGGGACACTGGGCAAGCAGAGCGAACTGACGTGAATTCAGCCGACTGAAATAATAGCAGACGTAGCGCCGGCACACATACCCCGCCAGCTTTGGAAAGGCATACTGCGAATCGTCACGGCTGGTTTTTATTCTCTCATATCTCTAGCTCTGAGGGCTCTGGCTCTGAGGGCTCTGGAGTGCGGTTCTGGCCCTGTCTCCAACCGTATACTTAGTACTCCGTGTACTCCGTGTACTTAGCTGCGGTCGCCGGCGGCTGACTCTGTAAAGTGCTCTAATTTTGAGGGCTCTGGGATGTGGCTGTGGCTCTACCTGGCCCCGTTTGGCGGCTGTGGCCGGCGATTAGCTCTGTGACGGCGCCGTCTCTACCTAGTACCTACCCTGTTTGGCAGCTGTGGCCGGCGGCTGGCTGTGTGACGGTACTGTCCGGTACCTACCCTGTTTGGCAGCTGTGGCCGGCGGCTGACTCTGTGACGGCGCCGTCTCGGCGTCCGGCCGTATGACCGGCTCGGCCGGCAGGTCGCAGTAGCGCGCCTTGTTGGGCGCCGTGTGCGGGTGCACCTGGACGGGCGCTACTTGGGTGTAGTAGCGGGACGCCAGCGGCTCCATTCTGGCAGGGATAGCATAGAGGGACCGTCAGCGGGGCAACCAGCGGACGGGGCCAGGGAGTCGGGCAGTACCTCTCAACAATACAGGACAAACATCACGGGACCAGCTCCGAGTTCAGCAAACAAGGCACTTTGACTTTAGTGGTATTTAACCGTACATAAAGGTATGCATCATAATAACCAAGGGAATATGAACCCAGCAATATCAACAAGTCAATAACGCCTGTTCCACAATCCCCATCCCAATTCCTCGCACCATCCCTCAATACTGATGAACGTCAAACAATAGCGGCGCGTCAGTCATTGCCCGGCAGGCAGGTAGCGCCACACACACAGGGGTCATCTGCATATGTATCTGCACCGAGGCGGCCGGGGACGCCGCCGGGACGGATCACAAGTAATCCCGACCGGGAATAATGATGCATTGTTAACGATAGCGGCCGACATACGGCGCGGGCGGGGGCGGGGGCGGCACGGGGGACGGCACATACACAGTCGGACAGGCATGCTCTCATAATTGGCCCGCATGGAACCGGCGACCGTCCCGCGGGGCGGCGCTCTTAGTATGATGAGCGTGTGTTGGGGCGTTCAGACGGGATAGGGACGGCGCAGCACAGATAATGGCCGGCTGATCAGGAGAACACTGCGCGGAATTATATTAGCCGGCACTGATTTGGCCCATGAGCCGTCGAGCCGATGGCCTCGCGGGACTAGCTAAATGTTTCAGTGATGCCACTTTGCGATCGCAAGACATGCGACAAAATATCAAATCGAGCATTGATTTGATGTTGTTGTAACAAGATAAAATAGGAGCAATTCCATATGAATAATTTCGAAAATAAGAATCGTGATTCATTCCTTGTTGCTTTCAAAACCCAAGAGTTGCGCTAAGACGCGAGGAAATCTGTACCATTTTTGCATTATAATACTCTCGGACTCCAAGAACTAAATTGCCATGTACTCAGTTCACAGTATCACTGAGGGGCTTCCAATGTGCACTTCGATTCATTCAACATGCACATAATCCGCCTTACCATTGCCCCGCAGAACCAAAAATGAATTAACACATCACCCTCCCTTGAGTTCCGTTAACCACTTCTCATGCCGAGACAGGCCTAAGCACCTCTTGGATCATGCCGCTTAACACAAAGAGCTCCCATCCACAACCCCCGCCGGCGGGCGCCCAGATAGCCCGCTCTACCCCACACCCACACCGGCGGGCGGTGCTCTCAACTGAACAAACCCGTGGACGGACCAAGGGAAACGTACCCCAGTCACCGGAGACGGACCGCAGTGGACAGAGCAAACAGGGAGAGGAACAGGGAGGGAGGGGGGGGGGGGCAGCTGAGGAGGCGGAGACGTAGGAGGTGCGTGGGGAGATTACTCGCTGGGCTCGGTGAGTTGGACGGACTGAGACAAATTATATTAGTACTCATATGTCACCATTGCACGTTAGGACGTGGTAAATGACAACGCTCCCCAAACCAACATTCCACGTTTTTTTAAGACCACATCCTCAGGTAGAGCGAACGAGATATAAACTAAGTTGATTAAGGAAAGCTGAACTTTTACAGACATGTGCCACACCACCATCCACCACACCAAACACTCACTCATCTCCCATCCCGCCCGCCCCCCCCCCCCGCGCACCGACCTGTAGGCCACGGGGTCGTGCGGGTAGAAGACGTTGAAGAACCGCCGACAGAGGGTGGACGGTACCACGTGCGGGCCCCACGACTGGCTGCGCATCGTCAGAAACACGGCCAGTGGCGAGCCCAGGCAGAACAGGTTGTCAATCTGGGGAGACACAGGACGGCGTCAGAGGCGAGCCCAGGCAGAACAGGTTGTCAATCTGTGGGTACGGACGGCGTCAGAGGACATACCTAACGGACGGCTGGAGTTGAGGAGAGAGACAGAGTAACTCAACAGGGACGGTCAGGTAGGACAATGTGTGCGGGAATGATGCGTCCCTCAGGTGGATGTGACGATATAAAGTACGGTTAAAGTATAACCTACATCTAAACCCTACTTACATTACTTCATATACTTTATGCCGTACTTTATACTTTTACCGTACTTTATATCGTCACACCCACCTTAGGAACGCATTCTCCTCGTATATTTGTTACGCGTTGGACAGGAGAGCAGTTTAATTATAAAGGTGCATGTAATAGTGGGAGCATGAATGAATGCGATTTTGGTTTTAGGACACCCGGACTACGGAAGTCATCGGCGTACGAATAAAAAAGTTCAGGGTACGGACAGTGTGATTCACATGACAACATACCCGTACAACCGTGGTAACGTAACGTATAAATCATAATTAACCTTTCTGTAATGCGTAATTGGACTAGTCAAAACGCAGGAAGGCTTTGCTCCCGCTCTCTCATGGTAGCAGCGATCAACGCCTGAGAGGTATACTGCACCGCACGGCACGCTGCGGATATTTTACATATCCGCTCCCTAGATGGCAGCACCATTCAGCGCCTGTAATGTATGCTGTGCCGCACGGCACGCCGCGACTGTTGGTTCACCATATATTTATATACACTGTGGGTTCACCTATCCGCTCCCTAGATGGCAGCACCATCCAGCGCCTGAGACGTATGTTGCGCCGCAAGGCACGCCGCGGCTGTTTGTTTACATATCCGCTCCCTAGATGGCAGCACCATTCAGCGCCTGGTATGTATGCTGCTCCGCACGACACGCAGCGGCGTTTGTTTACATATCCGCTCACTGGATGGCAGCACCGTTCAGCCCCTGAAATACATGCTGTGCCGCACGGCACGCTGCGGCTGTCCAACTGAATGTGGCCGGCCGGCCACTGCAGCCTGCAGTTTGCGGGCGATTTGTGGGCGATCTGTGGGCGGTTCGCTCGCCGCCAGCCGTCGTGGTTCTCACATGCCAGCAAGATCAGCAGCGTCTATGGGCTTGATTAGCCGTAGCAACTAACAACAAGCTGAATTAACAAGTGGCTTATGAAACTTTCAGAAGGAACACAATTTTCTTCGCTGCCTCCGTTTACACTCAACTTGCTGATTTAAGTTCCCGTATAAGTCTATTTGAAATTCAGTGATATGCGGGTGCGTTTGCGAATCATCGGAACAGGGAGCGCCTAACGCACTTCTCATGGTAGGAGTTGAAAGTCGCCAGCAACAGTTAAAACTATTTCAAGTACACTTACTAATTTTACTGGTGAACGCAGTATTGTGGTTGCCCTCTTTTCCCAGGTAAGAAAGGCCTAGTGCAGCTCCTGGCTGACGATCCCGCAGTGTATCGTCCATGATAGCTATATCGATATAGATAGCGTATCGTCCACATAGCGGACATTCTTCTTACCGGCATGGTATGTCACGCTCTATGAATGCCAAACCCTCCTCGACCCCCACCCCAACATCTGCATGTGCCGCCGTCCGTCACTACAATATCATCACTTCACGACGACCTTCACACCGTGCCCACCCGGCCGGGCTCCGCTCGGCATGAGAGGCCGCTCCGCGCGGCACCCACCGGTCCGGGCCGGCCGGCGATTCCCGGCCGCCCTATCGCCGGATCGGTAACGAACTCGGACGCCGGCGGCGCCTACTAACTCAGGACCGGAGGGGCGAGTGTTCAGTATTCATGGTGGGCCGGGAGGTGGGCCAGATGGCCGTCCGCGTCTTCCAGAGAAACGGGATAGGTGGGGCGGGTCTCACCCGGTCTTACAGAGGTCAGCTGCCGACTGCGGGTCCGAGACATCGGGAGATGTGGCAAGCTGAGCTGACCTTATCAATGCCGGAGTCGCCCCGCTACCGCTGCTACTTTCTGCTCACACCCACAGTTCACATCCACAGCATCCCTATTGCCTAACACCCAGATCACACCCACATCCTACACCATCGCTATTGCGGACCGCCCCGGACCTAACCCACAGCTCAGTATCTACCGGCCGCCCCCGCCCGCACCCACAGCACCCCCGGGATCCGTCACCTCCGACCCCGCCCACAGAGCCTCCAAGGACCGGCCGCCGCTGAGCCAGCGTCCTATACTGCATCCTCCGCCTCCGCGCGGTTGAGCAAGTGCACACACGAACACAAGAGCAGTGAAGGAGGTGAAACAAGTCAAAGGCACAACGCCAAGGCTAACTGGTAAATGTCGGCGTGAAATAATTGAGTGGAGCATAGACCTCTACATACCTATGTAGAGGTATGCAGAGGTCTATGAGTGGAGTAAAAAGAAAAGGCACAAAAGTAGGATCCAGAACTTTCAGTGCATCGTTTAGCTTTACACAACAATTTAAGCCACGAGCACTAACCATACAATGAGATAAGAACCAATTATTAGGGATTGTACTTACTTACATTCCTTGCACGATCAGGTTACATTACGGAATATACCGGCAATCTAAATCCATCTCTAACAACCTCTCCTCTCCTCATTACATTATTTTCTCAAGTAATCGCTGGCACATTACCGACAAGCTCCCTTTCAGGCTATTTCTATCCACATATGACGTCTGGAGCACAGTCAACAGATCGACGACAAATGCGTCGCGTGTAAATTTATCCGCCGCTGCTAAACCTTCCCAAGAATGACAGACGCAGACAGCGCCTTATGTAAGTAGATTCCTGCTGGCGACTACATATGGGAAAGGGCAATTAAAGATCTAATGGCGACTGTAAAAAGTTGTCTGGCATAAACATGCTGAGACCAAATAGAATATCCGATTCATGTCATGCAACTCCTCCATAATTTAAAAACATGTAGGCACTCAAATTGTCCAACTGTCAACAACAGATTGACTACGCCGCAATGTCTGCCACTTCCAGCAGTGTTGGAGCGCCGCCATCCACCCACCGCTGCTCGCCAGTACCTACAATAAATACCCAACAGTCCCCAGTACCCTGACCAGCCGGGGCCACTCCCACCGGATCTCTCATCCCCTTAGATCGAAACGATAGATGTATGTGTGTGTACAGGCGGTCCTAAGAAAAACCCATCCCACCCGTCAGTCCCGGTTCGCCGGTCTGCTCCATTGCTCCCAGACCACTAACGAGCTGACCGGTAGGCCTGCGGTGGTACGCTTTGATCACAGTCACGGTAGCCGAGGCGGGCAGACAAGTCGCCGAAAAACAGCCCGGGGAGGGGGAGGTGCTGGTGCTGGTCAGATGAGACTATCGGAGAGGCGATTGCTTATAGCTGCTGCTGCCCCCGCCGTTGCTGCTAGTTGACTGAAGTAATATGAGCATTGAGCATTAGTACACTTCTGCAGCTGCTGCTACAGGGTGTTTCTGAAAATGCTGACACATTTGTTTTGGTATTTGGAGGAATTTACTGCATTTAAATGAACGTGTTCAATACACGAGACGAAAGAATAGTTTTTGAAAATTTGTTTGACAGCATCGGTGCTTTCATTCAATACGCCGTATTACTGACACGAAGGAAAATGCTAAGATAGTGCATTTCTACTTCGAAACCAATTCTGTTGTTTTGACACAATGGCACTGATCTGGATCTGGATCTTGATCTGATTTGAACAACCAGATCTGGAGCGAGAAGGCCCAGGACGAGGTCGCAGAAGATCAGCTGCACGCACCCTGATGCACTGCATGGTGCGCATTGAGCAGCACGGGCATTATCAGCCCAATCTGGATCGAAGATGACGCGGGCGACGTCCTCACGGTGACGGCGGAGCGCTATCTGCAGGTGCTCGAGAAGTTCTGGACTGCGCTCCAGAGGAAGTGTGTGCACACCATCAGTGGTTGCAGCAGGATCGTGCCCCCGCTCATGCAGCCACTGTGACCCTACAGTGGCTACAGGAGCGCTTCGGGGGGGGGGGGGGGCTCATTTCCCGAGGCACCCCCACCAGGTGGCCACCAAGGTCTCCGGACCTCACGCCGGCGGACTTCTACCTCTGGGATCATGTCAAGGAAAGAGCCTACAAGAGTGAACCCCGAGACATTCCCGAGCTGAAGGATGCGGTCCGCGCGTGCGTGAGGGCGGTGACGCCCCAGGAGCGCCGCCGAGTTCTGGAAGCAGTGCGCCGTCGGGTCGAACTCTGTTTGGCTTGAAGTGGTGGTCACTTCGAGCACCTGCTCTAGGTTCCAAGAAGGGGATCAAATAGTGATCATTGGCGATGGATGTGAATTTTTAATGATGACTGATTAGTTGTAGCCTATGACGATGAGTGTGCGTCAATAAACATAAGAGATATAGGAGAAATAAATGTGTCAGCATTTTCAGAAACACCCTGTATAGTTATTGCTACTCATCTACTTATCGTTCTCATTATGGTTATAATTGTTGGTCATCTGATGCGATGTACCAACTGCAGCTCCAGCAAATGCTACTGTCGGTTAGCTGTTCCTGCTGCCCCTGCCTTATGTCGGTCCTCTGACTTTGAACGCCGCAGCTTCTGATGGCCGTCCATCCCACTTTGTCGCGTCTTCCGTCGCCTCACCGACGCTCCGCGTCCCTCGGAGTGGCAGATGGGACGGGAGGAGCGGTAGCTCGGCCTCGAGCGGCGGCTCGACACATGAATATTCCATGGGCGGACGCCTCAGAGCGGAGAGCGGCCCACCGCGCCCGCTCAAAGTGCGTGCGGCGGCCGACGGACGGCGTTTGAAGGCTCGGAGCAGCCACGAGCGCGTCTCGTAATTTGATTCAGTCGCGGGTGATAGATCATTTATGCGGCCTGGTTCATCAATATCACATATCTCCCGCAGTTATCTATCATGTTTAAGCTTTGATAAAGCGCAAAACCATAGCCACCGGACGCTTGTAAAGGAGCATGCCGTAATTTTGGTTACCACCAGGACAAATGTTTTGGTCGTATAATATACAAACGGCAATAATGATCGCAAAGGTCATGTCTACATTGGAGCAGCCCCTGGTTTTTGCCTTTTAGACCGGCGAGACATTGTGAGCTTTGAAATTGATACGTGTGTGTGGTTTAGAAGCTCCCTAGACTGAACAGGTTCAGCCAAACAACCAGCTAGCCCGCTCTGCCAAAGCTAACAGCGCAGTCTAATGTGTTTCTACAAGGGAATGTAGAGATTCAAAATGAGAAACCTGACGCTTGCAGTTAATCCACATACCTCTGCGAAGCTAATTATCAGCAATCATCAAAGTGTGTTTGATCTATCGAGTATGCTTGGGCGTCACTTTGAGAACTCAAACCACATGTCAACCATAACTCCAACTTAAGCACAAGGTTAATCAAGTATCCCTTATTCACCCATTCCCCTCAGCACTCAACTCAGCTGAACCACTCAGCATTGCGGCATGATCGGAGCCTTTTACTCGGTAAACCAAACCACTCATACCTGGAATCCCAGCGCCCCACTCGCCACCGATTCCTCTCTTACAATTTACTCCACCCCGGTAACACGCCTAATCTGCTCACCGCTCGCCCGGGCAGGCCCGGCTGGCACGTGTACGGACCTGGTTAGTGGGACCGGGCGGGGTCTCCCGGCCAATTCAGATAGCGGTAACCCGATCAGGTGTACGGCAGAGAGGCGACGGAGCCCTTCCGGGGACCACAGCGGCGGCTGTGCGCGCCCCGGGCCAGAGGGGACTACACCGGGCAGATTTTCCGGTATGGGTAGTTGCGAGTTCTCAGAGAATAGAAGAGGGGACAAGCCCCACTGGGTAAATCGTTCAGTTCCCGGTAGGCAAACGGGTAGGTTCCAACTCCCAGCTAAACAGGTTTGTGAGTTCCCGGTAAGTAAGCGGAAGAGTTCCCAGTGCGCAGATTCGCGAGTTCCCCATAGGCAGGTTAGCGAGTTCCTGGTAAGTAGGAGGATGAATTCCCGCCTGACAATATGACCGAGGAATGCTAACGGAGGATCTCTTATGAAGACAGCGCGCTAACAGAACAGAATGGCTGTGGGCGACTGAGAAGGCTAACTCCGGCTACACAGACTTACATAAAGTCAATGAGACTGAATAAACTTGCACAACACATGCCAGCTTCACTTAGCCTACTGGATCTTCATTCACTTACTCAGAGTTCATCCGGTCCGCTCAGTCCCTGTTGGAGACTCTCCCAGTCAGTCTTAGGTACGCCTCGGCCAGCGGGTCCATCCAGCCGAGACCAGTTGACAACAGCCCCTGTTACCACGCCAAACAGACAGAAAACTCGCTGCCGGAGCCGCCCCGCGACCCGGTCCGTCGGGTTCGGACTCACCTTAAAGCGCAGAGAGGAGCCGTGGCCCAGGTGCATCTTGTGAATCACCTCCGTCTCAATAAAGCCACACAGCCTGTCGATCTCGTGGAATGGCGCTCCGTGGCCCTGTCGGTTCGGACAGAGGTGAGGGGTCAGGGTGGGTCACAGGGCAGGTCGATTGAAGAAAAAAAACTGCGAAAGACACCTTGCTTGACCGTCTACTCTGTAACTCGCTCCACTAACAAGCATTCCCGCGTGGTAGCGGGCCCTATTTACAGTTTTAGTTCAGGAACATGTGCTTAATTAATGAAGTAGAAAGTAAGCCACTTCACACCGGTAGATAATGGTTATGTAACACTGTCCACACAGCACCTCCGTAATTCCCACTTCATTAGCTGTGCAAACTAAAATCCCTGAGGGTGGCAACTCACTGACCAACTAAGCCAGAGTGAGCCGAGGTGCTTTCAGCGAGCAGAAAGGCGCCTCAGCACTCAAACAAATGAAAAACAGATATCGAGTGATTGAGCATCGTTTTCAAGTTCAGTTGTGAAAGTCTATGTCCGTTGTCATCAGGCTTGTCCATGGCTGCCCTTTGTCCGTGGTTGAACCGACAAAGCGATTCGTCCTCTCATCTTATCTCGCCTGTCCGGACACCTCTGAACTACACGGCAGTTTGATACGCAGACCACTGACAGCCAAAGGATCAAAGACGAGCAGCTAAAAGCTGGCCCGCGCCGACCAATATATGCACATAGTTCGGATGTTGGCCGGCGACAACCAGGGTCCGACGCCGAGGGCCGTACTTGGAATGGGCCGATCCGTGCAATCCCCCAGCGGCAGGGATTGTTCAACAAGTTACCAGACTTGGTGGGTCTCCGTTCCATTTTGGTAGTGGACCAACAATGAACGCTCAGTGGACGGGAAAACAAAGGACACTGGCCAAAGTTTGGGGCGCACCTCGGCACGGTGGCTAACGGTGAGTTGGTTCAGGGAAATATCGTCCGGCTTCTTGGTCAAAATACACTCATTTTGAGTGGGACAAAATTGTAGGCCACGGAGCTACCGTGGATTAATGACTGAGTCCCCGTGCTATCTCTTTTGTTTGTATAATTATTGCTCTCTGTCCGCCAGTCGACACTCTGCTGGCAGCAACAATGCCACCAAACCAACCACACTCAGGACCAAATCCCCTCCAATTAATCCCTCCACCCACCGCCCACTGTCATGAAGCCCACTCCCCGTGAGCTCCTATTTGCCGCCTCATCACCGACAAACGAGTCCGCTCTCACCAACCGCTCCGGCCGCACCAGGCGAGGTATGAGCTCCCCGAGCTGATGATTTACCGGGAAACTGAGAACGCTTATTGCCGACCGTAGAGTTAATGGGGCCCGCCCAACTAATTGGGCATGACGGAGCGCCGCGCTGGCCGCCCAGGAATGCTCATAACACTGAGGTCGGAGGGGGGGGGGGCCTGAGGGGATGACGGACTGTCGATACCTGCCTGTCGCCTGAGGTAGAGCGGCAGTTGAGCGGCCAAGGTTTCAAGGTCGGCGCTATACCCCGGTATAAGAGATAGCATATGCTGTTTTCCGTGCCATTAAATTTCTGTGGCGCCCAGTAGGTACTAATAAGTAGCGCCTATGAATTTAAATAACCTCTCTTGTGACGTAATTTTATGCCACGCCGGCCATTAAATGTCAATACTGTGATTCACCGAGAAATCCTAAGAAAATTGAGCCACAAACTCTCGGCAAAGAAAGAAAGAAAGAAAAGGCTACGTGATTCTCAGCTTTCCGAAACGGTCCACCTGCAACCCAAGTACTGCTGCTCAGGAAACTACCAAACGAAAAGCGGAACCTTTTTCGGTGCTCAGAAAACCTGTGTTGGGACGGTTCATCTTGTCTACAAATAAACGGTCTCGACATGTTGGCACCCCGCGATACATCAGCCAATGAACCATAGCAGTGGTCAAATAACCAGCAGTCAGCACAGCTTTGGTGGAACTGAATCCAAATTGTCCTGTGTTCGTTACCAATGGAAGGACTTATGTCATTTCTTTACATACGATTACTGTCCACTAGGAGCGGGTTATCTTCGCGCAGATCTTGATTTGATGTGCTTTATCTAACCATGTCTTTGTCGACCGTGTCAATAAGAACATACAAAGCTGAGAAATAATAGGATACCGCAGACTCCAATACAATTTCTCCCTCTTTTCCCCACTGTTAGGAGCGCCTATACTACGCCTATACCTAAACCTACCACGCATCGGTCGGCCGCAACTCGCACTTGGACTTTACTGGGGATGGCAAATATAAATCACCGATCCCATCATCACAAGACCAAACCACTAATACTCAATACCGTTACAAAACGAAAGAGCCATTTTCGCGGCCTCACCGTTCTCTTTACGTTGACAGGGTGGGGAATGTAAGGTGTAGGCTCCGTGCAACTAATACGCGGGATATTACAAAAACCCGTCCCCGACATTTCATAGTTTATGTACGGCCCGAGTAGCGCACGGGTCTTTGGTTCATGGCCTGCTGCTAATGACTTTACTGACATTAATCTGTCCGGATCGCGAAAAATCATAGGTTTCCGGCATGAGACGTGACAAGTGTAAAAATACAATTACACACTAATTATTTTACTCAACAAAAAGAAATAAACACGAACTACTAGCATCCCCGTCCTCACCGTTCCGCCCCCCCCCCCCTGTCTTGTTCTGTGTCTTTCCGTCCCATCCCGTCCCGTCCACCCCGTTCCCCAGTACTCACCCTGAGCTGAGCAGCGGCCGAAGAGACCACGCCGGTGTCGTGTCCGGGCCGCCAGCCGGTGACCAGGTCGTGCAGGATCACACAGCCCAGGGAGTGGGCCACCACTGACACCCGGCCGCCGCGCGCCTCGAACTGCGGGTAGCAGCCCGTGAAGCTGGCGTACACCGAGTTGAGCGCGCCGCGCAGACCGGACAGCAGCTCCTCCCGGTACAGCGGGGATGTGTAGTACATGATGTCCATGAACGAGTCGTTAAGCATCTGCCGCAGGCCGAGCATCTGGTGCGGCGTGACGGCGTCGATGGTGCCGCCGTCCAGCTGCAGCGCCGAGCGCCACTCGACCGGTATGAACTCGGCACGACCCGCCGACGGGTCAAAGTGCTTGTCGCGCAGCGGCTGCCCGATCGCCCGCATACTGGGGAAGACAGGCAGGGAGAGATATCAACAAGAAGTAGAGGGGAAATGAGCGAAAACTACACCCTACCAGCTGCACCCAAAACTACACCCAATGTCCCGAATATGGAGCTGGTGAGATAGGTACCTCAGCACGAGTGGGAGGCATTGTTGGAATATGCTTATATAATATAGCATGCTGAAGTAAATATTAAAGTAATTGACAACTTATGCACATAGAATGTTGTACTGTTCGCAGAATGAAGCGAGTGTCGCTTTGATAAGGATTACAAAGACGGATGTTTTGAAGCACTCTCAGTACTACTAACGCCACAGCCTACGAGCATTCAACATTAAAAGCACGCTCACAAAGATTATATAACCACTCTTTAACATCCTGAACAAGTGCATGCCCTTGTTAGTGACCAAGTGGGCCTCTCACGAACGGTGGACGGTCGCCGCGGTAACGAGGCCCGGCGGTGGCCGGACTTTGCCGCGGCGCAGTCCGACCCTACCTGAGCAGAGGTCACCAGGTACTCTAATGGCCGGCCCCACGGTGGTTAATGAGACCAATTATACCCGGAGCCCCCGCCGTCGTTCGCCGGATAGTAAAACTGACACACAGAGAATGAGAGTCAGAAAGGTCAGACGCGGAATTTCTGAATTTCGCAAACTGCATAAAATGGCGAGTCTCGTTGCTGCTGGGGTTCCCGAGATGTTGCCAAGTTCGCGGAGGCGCAATCCAGTTGTAAGAGATTCCTGGAAGATTTGTGAAAGCTCAGACAGAAGCGGCCGTTCCAGCGACACAAAATGTCATCGAAAACGGGTTACTTGGACGGCTGACGAGCTTAGAGCGTCCAAAGCCGAGCGGCTCTCCCTTTCACAAAGACGGCCATTGAGAAATGGCTGCGACTGGAAAACAGTCCGATGAAAGGGCGAACTGTGCAATGAAGCAAGTGGAATATACCTTTCTGACGCAAATATGCACCATAATTGATGGAAGAAAGCACCTTACCTACATCATGGAACATCCAAGCTTAGAAAATAAAAATACGTGTAATAAACACTAATTGCGTAGAACTTAACGGTTCACATTGAAATGCAAATGAAAACAGAAAAAAAAACAACGGAAGCATGCAAAATTTGAAATCAGTTTCTTTTTGCGTTGAACGATGCAATATCAACAGCTAATAGGAAATTCCCTTTGTTCCGAAACATCTGCGACATTGCCCTTGTTGAAAAACAACAACCCGTTAGCCATACCAAGCGAGCAGCGAATACAGCCCATTAGGTAGAAAAGACTAACCACTAACCAGTACCAGCTGTAGAATCTAAGCACGAAACAGCTGACCACCTATCTATGGCGACTTTGTCGTATGGATGAAATCTGTCGACAATCGAACTGGGCTGGATAGAATGATGGTAAAAACCATTTACCGTGTGGAACCTCGATGAGTTGAACATGGCCGTCTCCATTTACACCACTCATTCTATCCTTAGCCGCACGCGCAGAATCGTTTTTCGCACACACTCGCAATCAGTGGCGCGACGAGAAACATTGCTTTAGAAAACTTTGTGCTCGCAGCTTCCAAAAACAGTCGCTCCCTGACAGAGCGATTTCCTCGCCGGCCAAGTTTGCCGTGGCCGGGTGGCGGGGGCGTCGGTCGGACGTCGGTCGGACGTCGGACGGGGCGTCGGGGCGACTCGGTGGAGCGGCACACAGCTGACAGCTGCTTCCGAGCCGATCCATCCGCAGCGCCGCCGCACCGAGAGGCCGTGGACTGTAACGTGTGAGCGCATCCCGCCGCCCGATCCCCCGCCCGCCGCCATCAGCCGCAGATATTGCCACAATACGGGATCACAACACCGCCGTCTCCGCCGCTGCAGCTGTGGCTAACATCCCACAATCCGACCCGAGACGGCGACCCGCGTCTGATCCCCGCCCGCGCGGGAAGCCACCCAGCCGCAGCACAGCGAGCGGAGCGCTGAAAACAACAGGCCGTCCACGCGGCCCATCGCCAGGAAAAATGACGGGCCTTGTCAAAACATCGCCGAGACAAAGTCCCTATCATAAGCGCGGAAGTGGGAATTCGGGGGCTGCGGGGAACGCGAGAAGATTTACTCGGGATGACAAAGAAAAACAGCAGGAAAAGAGAGTTGGGTTGTGTACAGTGAATGAATGCAATGTTGTGGATGGGATTTTACATACCGTAACGAAAAATAAGATACCACTGAGAAGTGTTTGACGAGCCAAGCAGTGTGAAATTCAACATTTAGATGAAAATGTATTTTGTGTGCTGTATGGCTTGCGCAGTGTTTCGGCGCGGTACGTCCCGTCCCCGTACGTTCGGTAATCAGTCCTCTGCACTGACCTGGCGGTGTTTTTGATGATGGAGCTCGAGTCCATCTTCTGTCCGATGCCGTGCACCACGAATATCAGGTGGGTGATGTCCTGCAGTCGGTCCTCCCACACGGCCGGAACCGGGTACGAGCGGCGCAGCGGCTCACCGGCTGTATGGGGGTGAACAGGGGTCACAGAGGTCAGCAGAGGACACAGAGGTCAGCAGAGGATAGGTACGAGCGGCGCAGCGGCTCACCGGCTGTATGGGGGTTGAACAGGGGTCACCAGGGGTCACCAGAGGTCACCAGTGGTTACCGGGGGACGGGGTACGAGCGGCGCAGCGGCTCACCGGCTGTACAGAGGTCAGTTAGGGGTCAATATGTGTCACCAAGAGATCACCAGAAGACACCAGAGTTGCAAAATCGCCATAGGTTATCAAAATTCAAAAGGCCGCTCAGATGACAGAGGGCACACACGAGAATCACGGCGTCTAAGCAGATAATAGGTCACCAGAGGGCACCAGAGATTAGACAAGTCACCGGAGGTCACAAATGACCCAGGCTATCGCGGCAGTTCAGGACCAAAGGGCTGCGCTGCTCGGTCCCCAATAACGGGGGCGGGTCGTCTGGCCGGTAGCGGGGTCAGTGCCAGACAAACGGAGCAGCCGTGATCCGCCGCCGAATGGCGGAGGTCACCGATCAGAGGTCGTCCGAGACCCGATCACCGGCCGGCCACAAATCAGACCTGTCGACGTTACAGATCACGCCGCGGGCTGCGGGTGACAGACCCATAAGCCACCTATGACCTTATAAGCCGCACATGACAAAGACGTATCGACGCAGTGAGAGGCTGCCGCATCAAAGTCCATTCAGAATACTGTCAGCCGGGGGATGAAGAAGCCCACCGATTTCAGACTAATCGAACACTGACCTTTGAAGTCCCGGTACGGCCACTGTATACACCATTCAGTATACGTTTCCTCTTGCTCTACAGATACCCTCCACAGAGCCTACCGCTCGGCAGAACTCTCACGACCCCCTCCCCTCCCCGATGGGGTTACAGTAGAGCCACTGACGCCGGCCCGGGTGGCACGCCTCCCACGGGGAGCGGACTCACCTCCCTCGAAGCCCAGCTTCTGGTAGAGACCGCGCATCACCTTGGAGAGCACGCGCCCGCTGTGTACGGCCACGTCGCCGTTACTGTACCACACCACGACAAACTTGTCAAACTCCACGTGGTGGATCGCTGCGGACGAACAAAACGGGTGTTAGTGGGGGTGTAGGGTCATGGAAAAACGATAGAGCACGAGCGGTCATCGTGTCGTAGCTGCTTTAGGGATTACTGTTGTGAATCATCCACCATTCTAGAATGTATGTCGCTTAAGTTGTGAAATTAGAAATAACTGACACATATTTTAAACAACATTGAAAGAGTTTAGACTTTAGATAAAAGCACAAAAGTTAAAGCCAATAAGGACTCTTTTGGTTGTCGCATACTGCTGAACTTACATACAGGTAAATGACAAGACAACAAAGAGCGTTATATGAGTAGCTCTGAGGATAATGGCGTCATTTTAACAGCGCAGTCGAGTTACCGTCAAAATGGGCCGCAGCTGGGATAAACGCAGCCTAGTCGCGCGCACAATTACGGCGCCGAAAACTGTTGAATGTTGACAGCACTTTAGAAAGCCCCGGGCGCGGCGGGGGCTCGGTTACACTATCTGCTTGGTATGCATCGTTTCCCGGATGGCTTAATTGAAAGCGCAGAGAAACAACTCCCGGGCCCAGAGACACGTGCCCGGGAATGTGCAATAAAAACGTTAAAACCACCGCAAAAATACGGGAGATAAAGGCATTTTGCATTACGTTGCAGTAAAGGCGAAACACGCAGCACACGTGCCAGCTGCAGAATCTATGGACACTTTTTTCCACCAGCAATCGAAGCGGGGTGTACCGTGGATATATCGATGAGACTAACTAATTGACCTTTCAGTTAGCCCGAGCATAGCTCGCACGCTACTCGACTTCGCGCGGGCCAGGCCACTGATGACACTCATGAGTCATTGAGCACCCATTAGTCCGTCTTTTACTGCCAACTACCTTTAGGTCAATGCTGCCCTGTTCTAATTCCAACTCCCCTCGGTTCTCTGAGCTCTGTTCGCACCCCGTTTATTTATCAGCAGGCTGCGAGCATGCTGCTACGTCTTGGCCCCTCATTGGTCGAATTCAAGTGGTCTATTCTATAGACCATTGAGAGACCAAGAAGCGCCAGCAATAACTTCCTTATATGGGGAAAACCGACAGCACGCTGATATAAAAACAGCGACCGAACAGGGCCCGGGTTACCCTGCACTGTCCCGTCCGTTCACCGGCCCTGGCCCTGGCACTGTTCAGTCCTGCTCAGTGCTGCCCCCTCTGCTGGACAAGTCCTACCCTGTCTGGCGACAGCCGGCTCAGCCTGTCTCACCCTGTTCTGTCCTGTCTTGTGAACCACCCTGTTCCCGTCCTGTCCCTCAGACCACTTACTTTGTCTGCCGGAGCGCGGGTCAGTCCGTCCTGCCCTATCTAGCCACCCACCTTGTCTGGGGGCGTTGTCCGACCACCTACCCTGTCTCGCGGCGCGCGGACCGGCCTGTCTACACCACACTGTCCTGTCCAGTGTTCTGTGACCTCACCTGCCTGGCGGTGCCGTCCGGCGACTCACCCTGTCTGGCGGCGCGCGGGTCGGCCTGGCTCCAGGCGCCCGACTGCGCCAGTCTCCGGTGCTCGGCCTCCACGGCGTCTGCCACCGGCTGCTCCAGCGGCTCCCAGCTACCGTCGTAGAACCACGCGCCGCGACACACGGTGAACTGCTCGCCCGACCAGTACAGCGAGCGGCCCACCCGCTCCCGGAGCGACACCTCGTACATGCCGCCGCGCACCAGCACTCGGCCCGTGCTGCCCGAGACACCGACACCGGGACAGGAGCCTGTGGGGAGGTAGGGGAGACGCCGTCACACAAATACAGAAGCATCTGTTAGTTAACATTTTCGGTGCAGTCCGCTTTAGGATGGCAACTGTCAGATGCTTGTCATAGAAAGGTATTGAATAGCGTGCGGCATGTCCCAGCTAAGGTATTTTACATCTCGTTCTCATACTTTTCGGGCCGACGAAACACCTTTCCAAAAAGACATACGCAAATCGCAATGGTATCGAACACATCCAAATATCACTCACGTTAAAACGAACAATTTCAGACGAGCCCCTTGATGACCACACAAATTTGTTACCTAAGCAGATCTGTTTAGGCAGATTTTTGTTTGTTTTGTTGGGTTAGGCCCTTTCCGTCCAATGAACCATTTCAGAGCCGGAAGGATGATAGGAATTAGGAGGAGACATTGGCCTTGGGAGGCACCCTAGTGAGTCGCCGGGGCTGAGGCTATCCGTTAGGAAAGGCTGACCAGACACCCAAACACTCACTGCACCCGGGTACGGGTGTGCTCCCTTCGGAGCTGCGGCGCGCTCCAATGGGAGCCGCCCGCACGAGATAAAGTTGCCTGTCAAGCCCGGAGGTGTTGCGGCGTGGAGGAGAAGGATTTTAATATCCCGAGGATGGAAACGACGGAACGGGTGAGGAAGCGTAATAAGCGCAGCGTCACAGTCACCGCGTCTGCTCACCGTTCGTGGCGTGCGGCGCGGACGGGCCGTGCTGAAGGCGCACGTGGGACGGGCTGGCGTGCGGCCCGGCGCCGTTGTAGGCCGCCGCCGCGCCGTACGCCGCCGCCGCCGACACGCTGTCGTAGTGCGGGTACGAGGAGCCGGAGTAGGCCGCCGGCGGGCCGCGGAACGCCTGCTGGCGGCCGGCGCGACTCAGCAGCTGACTGACGTCCGTCGCCTCGCCGTCGCCGGCCGCCTCCGACGGATAGGTGGCACTGCTGTCGCCCGGCACCGGGAATAGGTGGCGGTAGTGCTGCTCCAGCGTCAGCGAGTCGAAGCCGTCGAATGGCGTCCACCGTTTGTCCGAGTCGCTCTTGTAGTGCCAGCGGATGTGGGCCGGGTCAACAGCATCGGGAGAGGGGAATGATGCCACAGCAGGGGGCCAGCCAGCAAGGGGCTCCGGCACCGTGGCCACCCCATACATCACTCTGGGGAAAATGAGTTCTGATCAATATAAGAAGATGCAGTCAAGGGAACACACACATGATTTATTTGCCAGAACACATACCCCAATTATCCACTTTCCACATGTTGTCATGAGTGCAGATTAGAAGCTGGAGCATTTAATGCAATGTAGTATCTGCCTCATGCCTGATGTGTTGAGCAGTGAACATACAAATGAAATCTCATGTGAACGCACTCATCTGGGACGCAACAGTACCTGCTATATCAATGCGCCTCTCAGCCTGCACTGCAGAATACATCCAATTCAAATTGGCTTATCACTTCAACTTGCTACAGTACAAGCATGATCGCTCATCCCTAGCGCTTCAGCAAGGGAAGGACGCGGTAAAAGTGGCTGGTGAAATAACCGCAATTGATCATGAACTATATTCGCGACGAACCCACAAAAAGTATCAAAAATGCATGAGCTAAATCGATTCTTGCAGCGCTACCCAAGGCAAAATTCATATTTCATGCCCATTTTGAAGAAACTGATAAAAAGAGCGACAGAAACTGTTTCAGCAGTTAAACACTGACTTACCAAATAACTCAAAACTCCGATCTAATCATCAACTAACACACGCAAAACGCTTTCAGACCCGCCCAAAATATTTTTGCCTTGATTTTTGCAAAACAAAAACGACTGCGTCACTTCTTGTTACCGTGACGCCAATGATGTCTCACTGAACAAATAGTGCATGGACGCGTTTCGATTATTAAATCTTCATCAGCATGACATAATCACAGAGAAAACAAGATATAGCACACAAACATTCAAGCTCGTCACAGTGCAATCGTCTTGATTTTAAAAATTTCTTGCATATGACATATTCACTACTAATCCACCTGTAGGAGAATATCCACGAAAAATGATAGCAAAATAGATCACTGACATACATATGACACATGGATAACAACAAATTTATACAGTACGATCATGAACAAGTAGGTACTTATACAAACTAATGACGCGTCTTCTTTAAACTATACATCGCCGCTGGTTTAGCCCATTTCATCGAACCCACCCTAATATTAATCGTTTCGTTCATTGCTATAAATGCCGCCTCTGTCGCCTTCCGATTGTCTTTGTTTTTACATAATGCTATGATTTCCGCCCCGCCCCATCTTGGTAAATGATGTGTTTTCTGAGCATGAATTACTACCGCGCTATGTTCTGCGTTGTTTCGCATGTCCCGCTTATGTTCCTTTAATCTAACGTCTAAGCCCCTCCCGGTTTCCCCTATATATGATTTGTCACAAGAACCACAAGGAATCTTATACACTAAACTTTTTTCTTCTCCATTTCTTTTTGTGTGGTTTTTCAGTATATCCCCTACCTTTGTTCCCGAAGAGAAAGCTATTTTAAATCCAGTCATTTCAATCTGTTTCGCTATCATCTCGGCTGGTTTCGAATTGGGAAGTGTTATATATCGTTCGGTTTTCTTCGTCTTTGTTGTCGCGCTTCGCTTTCGAATATTGATAGCTTTTCTTTTCAAGTTGACTAGAAATCCTTTGGGGTACTTTAATTTCGTGAACGATGCCATGATGTGCTGAATCTCTTCATCTATAAACTCTTCACTACAAATGCGATACGCTCTAAGGAAAAACCCCAACACTATCCCACTTTTAACCCGATCATTGTGTCCAGAATAGAAATGTACGTACGACTCTTTGTTTGTAGGCTTTCGATACACTTTAAATTTTGGCTGACTCCCACGTATGATCACAGTATCAAGAAAAGCAATCGTCCCGTTGCTTTCTTTCTCAAGTGTAAACTGAATCTTTTCCTCTACCGAGTTAAGTCTATCAAGTTTGTCCTCTAAGTTCGTTTCTTTTGGCACTACTACGAGAATATCGTCAACATAACGCAACCAAATTACGTTACTGCCCATGATGCCCTGATAATGGTGCTTTTCGAGCCACTCCATGTACAAACATGCCGCCACCGGGCTCAGTGGTGACCCCATGGCTAGTCCCCTATGTTGACTATACTCATCAGACTGAAATTGAAATCCCCCAAAGTTAAGGCATATTGCAAGTAATTTCAAATAGTCATCTTTTGGCACAGGTAACTGTTCGGAGTCCATATTCGCTACTACAATCAAAGGCAAATCAAATAGAGGCAATCAAATCTGTAGTAGCGAATATGGACTCCGAACAGTTACCTGTGCCAAAAGATGACTATTTGAAATTACTTGCAATATGCCTTAACTTTGGGGGATTTCAATTTCAGTCTGATGAGTATAGTCAACATAGGGGACTAGCCATGGGGTCACCACTGAGCCCGGTGGCGGCATGTTTGTACATGGAGTGGCTCGAAAAGCACCATTATCAGGGCATCATGGGCAGTAACGTAATTTGGTTGCGTTATGTTGACGATATTCTCGTAGTAGTGCCAAAAGAAACGAACTTAGAGGACAAACTTGATAGACTTAACTCGGTAGAGGAAAAGATTCAGTTTACACTTGAGAAAGAAAGCAACGGGACGATTGCTTTTCTTGATACTGTGATCATACGTGGGAGTCAGCCAAAATTTAAAGTGTATCGAAAGCCTACAAACAAAGAGTCGTACGTACATTTCTATTCTGGACACAATGATCGGGTTAAAAGTGGGATAGTGTTGGGGTTTTTCCTTAGAGCGTATCGCATTTGTAGTGAAGAGTTTATAGATGAAGAGATTCAGCACATCATGGCATCGTTCACGAAATTAAAGTACCCCAAAGGATTTCTAGTCAACTTGAAAAGAAAAGCTATCAATATTCGAAAGCGAAGCGCGACAACAAAGACGAAGAAAACCGAACGATATATAACACTTCCCAATTCGAAACCAGCCGAGATGATAGCGAAACAGATTGAAATGACTGGATTTAAAATAGCTTTCTCTTCGGGAACAAAGGTAGGGGATATACTGAAAAACCACACAAAAAGAAATGGAGAAGAAAAAAGTTTAGTGTATAAGATTCCTTGTGGTTCTTGTGACAAATCATATATAGGGGAAACCGGGAGGGGCTTAGACGTTAGATTAAAGGAACATAAGCGGGACATGCGAAACAACGCAGAACATAGCGCGGTAGTAATTCATGCTCAGAAAACACATCATTTACCAAGATGGGGCGGGGCGGAAATCATAGCATTATGTAAAAACAAAGACAATCGGAAGGCGACAGAGGCGGCATTTATAGCAATGAACGAAACGATTAATATTAGGGTGGGTTCGATGAAATGGGCTAAACCAGCGGCGATGTATAGTTTAAAGAAGACGCGTCATTAGTTTGTATAAGTACCTACTTGTTCATGATCGTACTGTATAAATTTGTTGTTATCCATGTGTCATATGTATGTCAGTGATCTATTTTGCTATCATTTTTCGTGGATATTCTCCTACAGGTGGATTAGTAGTGAATATGTCATATGCAAGAAATTTTTAAAATCAAGACGATTGCACTGTGACGAGCTTGAATGTTTGTGTGCTATATCTTGTTTTCTCTGTGATTATGTCATGCTGATGAAGATTTAATAATCGAAACGCGTCCATGCACTATTTGTTCCGTGTTTTTCTACTTGTCTATATCAATATACAGATGTCTCACTACAGCAGAAGCACAATCTATATCATGAAGGAAGTGTTATTTCTTCTTTATCTTACCTACATTTTGTGCCATTTCTTTATTTTAGCTCGTTAAATGAAATATGCCGAAAGGTTTTGAAATAATTTGCAGTATAATGTTACTTATCGAAAAAGACATACCAAATCAAATAACTCTTGTGAAGAAAAGATGCGACAAACGCAGCGCATATCTTTTGATTATTCGCCGCATTTATCGTGCGTGCTGTCGTCGAGTTGGGTCAGCGGTGGGCGGTTGCCCGCGTTTTCGCTTGCGTTGGAAAAACGTGGACGCCATAAAATCAATATCTTTATTGCCAAAAGATACCTTAACATTTAAATCATTCAAAATCATGAACTCATCACCACTTTTATCCAGGCTGCTTTAGTTGATAGCGTGTAATATAACCTGTTTCTGCTCCCTGTAACGATGCGGTGCACTTTTGACCAGTCAAGATTTTTATGTTATAAATAATGGTCTTTTGTCTGGGGTTTCATTGTTCACAGTATCCTTAACATTTATGGCTATTCTTATTTGCTAAAAGGAGCAGTGAAATTATAAAGCATTTATCATTTTACGGCTCTCGCATTTTGGCTGCTACATGCTAGTAGCAGGGAATTTATTATGTGGGTACCTACCCCTGTATTATTTTTTTGCATAAGAATGGTGTTTTGATAGGCAATCATATTATGATCATTGACACTCTATTTTCTTTTCATGTTGAAGCATTAAAGTTTCCTTGTTTATTTCAAATAACTTCAGCATGTTTTAAGTCTAGGTTACAGAAAAGGAGCAATGCTCACAAATGGTGTATTATATCTTTCCAATTCAAAGGCCAATATTTCATGTTTTTAAAATTGATTTATTCAAGTCTAATTTATTGATAAATAATGTGACATCACTCATTTACCCTCAACAGTCTGATCTGGATGAAGACATGCTCTGGTGACAGTGGTCACCTCACAATACATTTCATGACACAGCTAGTCGACAAGCAGACAAGCTAGTGTTTCTTCAAGCAGGCAACCAGATACATTGTTCACATAAATAAAACATAGAGTTGTGAACTCATGCTTCCATTATTGAAACATTTAGGCATTTTAAAGAACTGAAGTAAGAGCTTAATTATTTAACTGAATTAGTATGCTTAATTATTAAGCTCTTTACTACAGTTGTACTCCTGTCACACAGTCACAGCTCATCACATGCCCACCTCATTGTCCTCAATAATTATCCATACCTATCAGCAATGCCTGTTGCTATTTTATCAAAGAAATGCCCTCTTAATCCAGTTGAGTTATTTCTATCAACCATTCTATTATCATAAAGGATAAGTGGTTTATTTTATTTCAATTCCTCTTTTTTCACACTGCTAACATATTGACACCAGTTACTAGTAGATAACATAATCTCCTTAAATTTAACACCTTTGAAATAAAATAAATGCACTGGTATACAATTTCAGATTTACTGGCAATTGACCCAATGACCTGTCAAATACTGAGCTTTTTAACATAGGATAAAGCCCATCTCAGCTATATTCAATGGGAATGGTATCATTGGGGAATGAGAAGCTTAAAATCCTCACTGCCCATAGTCTATATTCTGGCCAGATTGTCCTTGTATGGTGAAAAAAAAAAATGAGTGAATGTTAATATATGTAAATAGTATATCTACCACAGTGTATTTATACAGTTCATGGGCTTCAATAACCTCTTTATCTCTCAATGATCATCTCTCCTTTCTGCTTCTATCTACCACTTGTAGTTTGTACATTCTTAGCTGCATCACATGACTACTGACTAGGTACCTATGTGACTGTTAGCTAATATAAACCCTTTTTCCAGGTGAAGCGGCCTCAGCAGTATCCACAGACACACAGAGTGCAGCCATGTCGACTGAGGAGGAGGTCCTCCGCGTCATGAAGAAGCTGGACAAGATGATCTCCTCGGAGAACTTTGACGACGCCATGGACGCCCTGCGGCAGCTGCAGTCTCTGCCAATCACCCTGCATGTGCTGAACAAGACGCGCGTCGGTATGACGGTCAACTCGTTGCGCAAATCCAGCAAGGACGAGCAGATCATCGCGCTGGCCAAGTCGCTCATCAAGGGCTGGAAGAAGCTGCTGACGCCGGCCGACTCCTCCAAAAAGTCCTCCTCCTCCAGCAAGGAGTCCTCCTCGGCCTCCGGCGGCGGCGGCGGCGGCGGCGAGTCCAGCGGCGCCAAGGACGTGGACATGCCGGCGGCCGAGGACCGCGGCAAGACGTCTGTGGCGCGCTTCCCGCCGGCAGCGCCGCCCACCGGTGACGCCGTCCGACTCAAGTGTCGCGAGATGCTGTACAACGCGCTGCGGGCGGACACGCCGCCGGAAGGCAGCGGCGACCCGGAGGACCTGGCCGAGAGGCTCGAGGCGGCCATCTTTGACGAGTTCAAGTCCACCAACCCCAAGTACAAGAACCGGATACGGTCGCGCGTGGCCAACCTCAAGGACTCGAAGAACGCCAACCTGCGCATCAACTACCTGACCGGCATGATCACGCCGGAGCGGCTGGCCAAGATGGCTCCGGAGGAGATGGCGAGTGACGAGATGAAGGCGCTCAGAGACAAACTGAACAAGGAGTCCATCAACGACGCCCAGCTGGCCTCTGTGCAGGGCACGCAGACCGACCTGCTCAAGTGCGGCAAATGCGGCAAGCGTAACGTCACCTACAACCAGATCCAAACGCGCAGCGCCGATGAGCCGATGACCACCTTCTGCATGTGCAACGAGTGCGGCCACAGGTGGAAATTCTGTTGAGGAGGCGCGGCAGCTGACAGAGAGGCAGGACGCGGCCCCTGCAGCAGTGGGGCGGCGGGACAGACTCGACCCAGTGTTAGATGTGACAGAGACTGAGGCGACCGCGTGTGGGCGTGCCGCGCTATCTTCCTGTGGTGAGAAGTGCTGACGTGCGGCCGAGCCGGGCTAGACCAGCGCGGCGCAATGTCGGTCGAGCTGGCATCTATTGGTCGGCTGGACTGTCTTTAGACACCGCCCGGCCCGTGTGTGCTCCAAATGCGCCACCGACCGGGCCACCAGCTGCCCGGCCCACGCAGTTTTATGTGGTCGGCGCTGACCGGCGCCGACAATCGGTCTCCCGTGACGGGCTGGATGGCGCTCCGGCGACAAACCTGACGAGTGTGTGAGGTGGCGCCACTGCGCCGACTCGGGATGTGATCCCGACTACCTGAAGTGACTGCCAGCGGGCCGCGGCCGGCGGTCGGCGCAGCGCGGCGGGGGCGAGAGGTGACCCGGCTGACCTTTAGCGGCCGCCGGCGCCGAAATCCACCCGTGTGCGGGATGGCGATTTGTTGGTGTCGATCGACACCTGTGTGTATGTTGACGCATTGGTGTGCTTGCTGGCGTTTCATGAGTTTTTGTGTCCTGGCGGTGTTCCGTGGGCAAAACGGCGGGCGAGCCGCTCCGACGGGCGAGCATTTCCATTTGTAATACACGGATCATCGGTAAAGGTGCGCTCTGTCGCTTTGGTGGCGGTTGTATGGCATGCGTGGGCGGTGGTTTCGCAACCGTTTATGTTGAAAAGTTAGGGTGTTTGCTGCTCTGACCGATTGGGGTTTGAAACTGCTACCGTTCACTGATAACTGACACGTGGCTCCCATTGGCTACTAGATGGGCAGGTGTGTTAGCTTAGGATCGGTGTCAGTCTCAAGGTAGAACAAATATTAATGTGGGCTATCTTAAAGTCAAACATGTATCTCCCGTGGGAACTATTCGTGAAAAGCGCTCGTTACCGCTCCTGTGAAAGAATCTCTTGTAGAAAATACCGCAATGTCCTAAAGATTGCTGACAAACTAGGCCCCTTGCCTCACGCAGATTACCACCATTCTAACTGACCTGGTGTTCAGAGCTGGGCAGTGGGCGGGGCTAGGGGGCACTTCACTGTACTCTGTGACCCACCTGATAAGATAGCGCCGGCGGCGTCTGGCGGCACAGAATAGTGCCCACAGCAGTGGCTATCTGCCGGCTGACTGGCGCGGTCCGTGCTACTCCCAGTGAAGGCCCGAGGAGGTGGCACGCCTCACGGCCCTTGTGAGAGGTCGCTGGGTGAGAGAGGCAGTGGTGGGAGCCCGCTGGGTGTGTGAGAGCGGCGGTGAGATGGCGCCATCGGCTGTGCTTCTGCTCTGTCTGACTATGGCGGCTGGGACCGGTGAGTTCATAGGGACCTGCGTGACGCCGTGAGGTTGGACTAAACTCGATGTAGCTAGGAATTCTAGTAGCTGTAATTAGCATGACATGCTACAGCTGTCTGCATCGCTAATTGCAACGGTGTAGGCACTAGGTAGGCAGTCGACAGATGGGGCAGTCATTTGATATTCGACGACCACCATTCAGTCCAACGCTTCACAGTGTGCCAGTGTGTTCACTAAGGTTGCTTTGTTTTCTTATGAAGAACAATATCTATAAATTCCATGGTGGCAGGTGAAGTGAAGTTTCTGAGTGTCGATAATGGGCTATAAGACTAAGTTATAACCTAGCTAGTGTGTGAGGGCGGAGGGGCGACAGCCGTCTGCCCACACGGACTGGGAAGTTCAGCGGACGTCGCGTCCTCTATGCAGCGGCACTTCGGAACTCAACGCTAGATGGCAGTCATGCGCCTCCAAAAATCGCCATCACGGGGTTTTGTCACGCACAGATACTTCAATTGAGCACACGGTTACCTACCTACCTGTGCCGATAGCTTTTGGTACACGATGGCGAGTTCATAATGCAACCGGACAAACTTGAAGTCACTTTTACCGTCTGTTGAGGACTTTGAGGTCACAGCAGTGCCTACCCGTCTTCACTTCACCACGAATCTCAGCATTCGGACCGTATGTCATCCCGTTCTAATGGTGCACCAGTCACTCGGATAAGGCGTTTGTGTGACGCCGCATTATCCTCACCAATAGGGGCTATTTGCCGTGGCGGTCCCTCTTATAACCTAACCAGCGGTGGCTTTCCTATTGATCGTAAAGGCTATCGTCTATTTATGTTTATTGGTATTGGGCTAGGCAATAGACATGTGCGATATGGGAACGGACGGCATGATGGCTGAAAGGTGTTTACTTACCCTATACCTAGGTACTGATACATGCGGACGTATTGGTTATTGGCAGCTCGTCTGTACTGTTTAACACGTACGGCTTACGGAGGGCGTATTTGTATCAAGGGATGTACGGCTCCCCGAGTCGTACATCCCCTGCTCCACAGATTATGAGGGTTCGTTCAGCTACAACAGCTCTCATCCCGTCCTAGCCTGCCTTGCAGCGCTGCCGAGACCGGGACCATCCGGTCCCTGGGTGGTCCCTGTGCGGTCCGTGACGCTCCCCCGCCGCCCGGGTCACCCGAGGTCACGGGAACGACGCGGGATGACTGCCCGTCTGAAATATCGCCCGGTCAATGGCTCAATGGTCACGGTGCCCCGGCAGTCTGCATATAGTCTGCAGTTGGCAGGTCAGGGCCGTAAACCCGGGCAGTGGCGGAAAACGGGCGGCGGCGACGGCCGACCAGCGAATTCACTTCGTGACGATAGAAGAAACTGAGCTGCCTGTCGCTTATTTTCTCGGGCGACCTTGGCCCTTTTGAGTTCACCATCTCGATACATCACCGATTCCTTAGGTGAGGTATCATATGGATTTTTGGGCTTCAATGTTTGCCTTTTAATTGAGTTATGTGAATGTTTGAATTGCCGATCTGAAAGTATATGAATATAAAACATTTTTAAATCGATTGATATTGAATAACAAACGCATCTTTACACGCCATCTCCCATGAACCAACGGGCCCGTCCGTAAAAGATACAGTGCTCGATGATGGATTGATATTATTCGGGCGACAATGTAACGATGCAATTACACGAGATTGCTCACACTCACTGTTCCGTTAAAGACCCTAAATTGTCCAGAGGTCGTCGAGAGAGCAAGAAAGGCACTAATGATTCTGCAGCAGAACGGTTCAGCCTCTCCTCGAAAGCATGGAACGTTTGCATGTGTCATGCATCGTTTGGAGAGGTCAGATGTTCACGGGAGGTCAGACATAGTTTATCTCCCGTGTGAAGTACCTGCTCGGCAGGTGGCAGACATTCGTGTGCAGTGACCCACGCCCCAAACGTGCAGAAACCCACGTGCGTGAAGTTAGCGTCGTATTCCGCGACGGATTCAGCGTCGAGTCCGAATTTAAACTAAACCCAACCTATCCGATGCAGTTTGGGACGCTGATTCCGAATATCGTATTCATTTCAAATTTCAAGGTCATCTTCAAGGTCAAATCACGGATTGAAATTGAGTCCCCGATTTTTCCTACACCGATCGTCCGATCCGATTTCTGAAGGTCGCATTCGATAGCTAGGGTCAGAATCTCGAATTCCCTGATATATACCTTATTAAAAATATTTGACCTTAAAGGTCAAATCACGGATTGAAATTTTGAGTCCCCAATTTTTTCTACACCGATCGTCCGATCCGATTTCTGATGGTCGCATTCATTAGCTAGGGTCAGAATCTCGAGTTCCCTAATATATACCTTATTAAAAATATTTGACCTTAAAGGTCAAATCACGGATTGAAATTTTGAGTCCCCCTATTTTTTCTACACCGATCGTCCGATCTCATTTCTGATGGCCGCATTCGATAGCTAGGGTCAGAATCTCAAGTTCCCTAATATATACCTTATTAAAAATATTTGACCTTAAAGGTCAAATCACGGATTGAAATTTTGAGTCCCCCTATTTTTTCTACACCGATCGTCCGATCTCATTTCTGATGGTCGCATTCGATAGCTAGGGTCAGAATCTCGAGTTCCCTAATATATATCTTATTAAAAATATTTGACCTTTAAGGTCAAATCACGGATATTTGACCTTAAAGGTCACATCACGGATTGAAATTTTGAGTCCCCCGATTTTTTCTACACCGATCGTCCGATCCGATTTCTGAAGGTCGCATTCGATAGCTAGGGTCAGAATCTCGAATTCCCTAATATATACCTTATTAAAAATATTTGACCTTTAAGGTCAAATCACGGATTGAAATTTTGAGTCCCCCTATTTTTTCTACAACGATCGTCCGAACCAATTTCTGATGGTCGCATTCGATAGCTAGTGTCAGAATCTCGAGTTCCCTAATATATACCTTATTAAAAATATTTGACCTTAAAGGTCAAATCACGGATTGAAATTTTGAGTCCCCCTATTTTTTCTACACCGATCGGCCGATCCAAATTCTGATGGTCGCATTCGATAGCTAGGGTCAGAATCTCGAGTTCCCTAATATATACCTTATTAAAAATATTTGACCTTAAAGGTCAAATCACGGATTGAAATTTTGAGTCCCCCTATTTTTTCTACACCGATCGTCTGATCCGATTTCTGATGGTCGCATTCGATAGCTAGGGTCAGAATCTCGAGTTCCCTAATATATACCTTATTAAAAATATTTGACCTTAAAGGTCAAATCACGGATATTTGACCTTAAAAGTCACATCACGGATTGAAATTTTGAGTCCCGCGATTTTTTCTACACCGATCGTCCGATCCGATTTCTGAAGGTCGCATTCGATAGCTAAGGTCAGAATCTCGAATTCCCTAATATATACCTTATTAAAAAATATTTGACCTTGAAGGTCAAATCACGGATTGAAATTTTGAGTCCCCCTATTTTTTCTACACCGATCGTCCGATCCAATTTCTGATGGTCGCATTCGATAGCTAGGGTCAGAATCCCGAGTTCCCTAATATATACCTTATTAAAAATATTTGACCTTAAAGGTCAAATCACGGATTGAAATTTTGAGTCCCCCTATTTTTTCTACACCGATCGTCCGATCCAAATTCTGATGGTCGCATTCGATCGCTAGGGTCAGAATCTCGAGTTCCCTAATATATACTTTATTAAAAATATTTGACCTTAAAGGTCAAATCACGGATTGAAATTTTGAGTCCCCTATTTTTCCTACACCGATCGTCCGATCCGATTTCTGAAGGTCGCATTCGATAGCTAGGGTCAGAATCTCGAATTCCCTGATATATACCTTATTAAAAATATTTGACCTTAAAGGTCAAATCACGGATATTTGACCCTAAAGGTCACATCACGGATTGAAATTTTGAGTCCCCCTATTTTTTCTACACCGATCGTCCGATCCGATTTCTGAAGGTCGCGTTCGATAGCTAGGGTCAGAATCTCGAATTCCCTTATATATACCTTATTAAAAATATTTGACCTTGAAGGTCAAATCACGGATTGAAATTTTGAGTCCCCTATTTTTTCTACACCGATCGGCCGATCCGAATTCTGATGGTCGCATTCGATAGTTAGGGTCAGAATCTCGAGTTCCTTAATATATACCTTATTAAAAATATTTGACCTTTAAGGTCAAATCACGGATTGAAATTTTGAGTCCCCCTATTTTTTCTACAACGATCGTCCGAACCAATTTCTGATGGTCGCATTCGATAGCTAGGGTCAGAATCTCGAGTTCCCTAATATATACCTTATTAAAAATATTTGACCTTAAAGGTCAAATCACGGATTGAAATTTTGAGTCCCCCTATTTTTTCTACACCGATCGGCCGATCCGAATTTTGATGGTCGCATTCGATAGCTAGGGTCAGAATCTCGAGTTCCCTAATATATACCTTATTAAAAATATTTGACCTTAAAGGTCAAATCACGGATTGAAATTTTGAGTCCCCCTATTTTTTCTACACCGATCGTCTGATCCGATTTCTGATGGTCGCATTCGATAGCTAGGGTCAGAATCTCGAGTTCCCTAATATATACCTTATTAAAAATATTTGACCTTAAAGGTCAAATCACGGATTGAAATTTTGAGTCCCCCTATTTTTTCTACACCGATCGGCCGATCCGAATTCTGATGGTCGCATTCGATAGGTAGGGTCAGAATCTCGAGTTCCCTAATATATACATTATTAAAAATATTTGACCTTAAAGGTCAAATCACGGATTGAAATTTTGAGTCCCCCTATTTTTTCTACACCGATCGTCTGATCCGATTTCTGATGGTCGCATTCGATAGCTAGGGTCAGAATCTCGAGTTCCTTTATATATACCTTATTAAAAATATTTGACCTTAAAGGTCAAATCACGGATATTTGACCTTAAAAGTCACATCACGGATTGAAATTTTGAGTCCCGCGATTTTTTCTAC